CGAATAAAAAAAGAGCAACGGTGATTGTGCTGCGTTACTCCGAGAGTGGACATAGTTTACTGAAACATCCAAAGGTAGCAGCACTGCCTAGATCCATAGCCAGTGTCTTTGTAATGTGGCTCAAAGAGAGAAAATTGACGGAACCGGAACAAAAGCATTTAAAAATAGGTTTTTACCTTCGTCTACAGCTCAAACTGTTGTAACTTGAGTTATGGACGTTTCGGCATTATAATTCCATCGTCAGACGTGGAACATTCAACTTAAGTAGTCGTCTTAGTCAAAACACATAACACGAACATTTCACAACTAACGATTATACAACGAATAACAGGCCTGTCGCACACTTGTTACTGGTTTACATTGCCGCGATCTTAACTGGATGTCTGTTATTCGTTGTATTTTCGTTAATTGTAAAATGTTGTTCGTGTTTTGACTATGACGACGCTACTTAAGCTGAATGTTCCACGTCTAACGCTGGCATTATAATGCCGAAACGTCCGTAACTCAAGTTACAACAGTTGGAGCTGTAGACGAAGGTAAATAAATACCTATTTTTATTAAATACTATCACAGCTTAGGGATTAAAAATGGATTTTTAAATCAAAGAATTGTCAGAAGGGATTTTACAGCAAATTTTAGTACCAACCTACACCAGAAAAAAGCTTCCATTCTAAGCTACAGGCTAGCAACGATTATAACGTTCCCCGGCAATGGCTGAGTTTACATCAAAGCAAGGTTATTGACATTGGGGAAGGAGGACATTTCCCACCCCGCGCCATCGTTGCCGGTACCGCAGGGCGTAATAGTGTATTATTAAATGTATTGTTTATATTGTTGTTAGATAAGTGCTATGGAAATTGATTTTATTTATAAATCTACAGACTAGTTTAAGTCAGCATGAACCTTGCAGTACTCCGAGATCAATATTCACTGGACAAGAAGGCAAGAGGTAAATTGTTTATCTGCCTGATAGCGGATCATCCTGCCATAACTATTGTGTAATTGTTACAGAATTTTTTTATTATATATGTTATTTAATATGTTTCAGGAAAGTCAACGAAATGTTAGAAATTAAAATTTTGAGCTGTACGTTCCCACAACCAATAACTATTTAATCTACCCCTGATGTTAAGTCCACCCTAACAATCTATTCCTAGCATCAGAATAGAAGCATCACCTGTCTTCCTCACTCTTTTCCTTCCCTCTCTCACCCTATCCTTCTCCTTCTTTGGTTTCAGGAGACAGCGGATATGGGTTGGAGCCCTCTCTGATAAAACCGTTTGAACATACAGAAGAAGGTACACCAGAGTTCCGGTTCAATCAGAGGCACCGGCAAGCGAGGGCCATTGTTGAGTGTTCCATTGGCCTTCTGAAGAATAGATTTCGCTGCCTGCTGAGGGATAGGACGCTCCACTACTATCCACCAACGGCCGCCAAGATCATCAATTGCTGTGCAGCTTTGCACAATTTGTGCCTCAGGGACAATGTTCCACTACTCTTAAATGTAGATGAACGCCTAGTTAATGATGAAGACGTACCAGTGGTTGCCCAAGGCAACAATGCCAATTACAGAAGGGCGTTGATTGTAAGGGACAGAATTGTCAGAAATTATTTCAACTAAATGTCTCTTCCATTTCTTTCTTTGTTATTATTCTATACTTAAATTGTATGCTCTTCTTTCAATTTTTTTTCTTTAGTTATTGTAAAACATCATATTTTTTTCAATTTGAGATTGTTTTGTGTAAGAATTCGTGAGAGGTGAAAGAAATTTTTAAATATAAAAGTTTATGAAAATTAAATTTCTCTAAAATGTATTGTAATATTAATTGTATTTCACGGGCGATGAAAAATGTAACTTATGAATTTTCATAAAATTTAAATTAACAAACAGACTGAGTAAAACACATTTAGAAATGTTTTGTACAAATTGCAATTTTAACCTGATAAACATCAATCACTTCAAAATCCTTCATCGAGTATGACGTTTAAATAACCATCAATCATAGTAAATTCACATAGATGAAAATTTCATAGGAAGTATAAATCAGTTTTTCACATTCTTTCACCCATACATTTTATTTACACTTAATTTAACGTAAAATCTAATAACATTCATAAATAAAGAAACAACAAACTCAACAAAAAAGTACTTAATGCTAACTTTAAAAAATACAAACATTTTAAAACAAACAGTGATAGTGTCCAGAAAATTCAATTGCATTAAATTTAGGGATGGACGAGATTGGATTTTTAGTTCGAGACGAGATCGAGACGGGATTTCCCTTCTCATACACAACGGGAAATGCACGTTCAAAATTTTTACCTGATTTTGTAACATTGTTAGATGACTGTTTAAATACAAAAATAATGATAATAGGCAAGAATATTTACAATCTTTTATTAAAAAACATCAGCATAACATTTTTTTTATTAAACTTAACGCTTAACTTATTAAAAATGCCTACGATTAGGAAACTGATATCAGTTAGGATAGAGTTCAACTTATCCTAAAATAAAATAAATCATAAAATAAAAGCAATATTAGTTTTTATAAAATAGTTACTTGTTTTGACTTTTTATAGTAATAAAACATTCCTCACACTGCTTACACTTAACAAAACTTCTCAAATGTTATTAAAGTAATATTCACTTAATATATCTATACTATTATATAAAAATCTAATGGTGTCTGTATGTGTATTACTAATAGGTGCAAAAACTACTGAACCAACTGGGCTTAAATTATACAAAAATATAGCTACCATACCAAGGACCATTATAGGACTATTCACATTTCAAAACTGACCGTAGGCTTTACCCCTTTGGCTTTAAAAGTTCTGAGGTGAACATTTTAAAAGCAAATATTGATTGGTCTCCATGGCTGTGATGAGAACACTAACAATGTTTGTTTACACTTGCTTTGACATTGAAATGTAAACAAGAAGAACTGCTAAACTGCATATTTCACAATTTAAGACAGCTGATACAAAGAAATTAAATATAATATTTTCCATAACTATGAGGTAGGTTTATTTTCATCTAACCTTTTATCATGGATTATTTACTCTGAAACTATGTCAATGATTATAGAAAAAAATTCTATAACCGTTGCTGTATCAACTCCGGTTCTGCTTTGGATTTTTTAAAGCGTCTAAGTAATGAAAATAATGTTATTGATATGTTTTCATGGAAACAGTATTAAAATTACAAAGTATAGATGTTTTATATGAATTCGGAGGCTACTTTAAATAAATTCTAACTGCTTTACATGTGTTAGATTAACATAACTTGCACATCACATTGTTTTTAGCGAATTTCCCTATAGGGAAGTAGCTATTACCGTAGGTGGCACGGTAAGACTTAGGCCCGGGACCGACTTACTTTTTCATTTTGATGTCCCCAGAGGCCAAAAACACCATTCGTTCAAAATTATATATATGTATATATATATTAATAAATGAAATAAATAATTAAACATTTAGTACCCTTTAAGTTATTAATTTATTGAATAAACTTACATGTTTCTGGCTCTTAGGCCATGATCACAGTTATGAACAAATAGTAAATAAATATAAATGTAAATAATAAATAAGTATCTTTATATAATATAAATAAATATAGATATAGTTTCTTTAAAATTTCAAAAAAACTGTATTGATATAGCACAGCAATATTTCTAAAGTTTATAACAGCTGACTTAGTTTCGCTAATGATTTATTGTGAGTGAAGAAACTGAAGATCGACGGATTTGTGATCCTACTAATATTATAAATGAGAAAGTTTGGATGTATGGATGTATGTTTGTGACAAGTGAACGCGAAAAATACTGGTCGGATTGGGCTGAAATTTGGCATGATGATAGCTCACATTCCCGATTAACATATAGGCATATTCTTATTTCAAAAATCCTTTCGGGCTCCGCCCCAGTGGCTCTGGAGTTTCCCATGTTAACCTTATGAGAAATGGAATATTTGAATCTTAACAGCTGTTTCAACTAAACAAGTTGGTTCTGTTCTATGATGTTCAATAGCATTAAAGTTACAAGGATTACCAACAGGGTGCAGCACTATTATTTCTTTTACATTTTTGACAACAGCTAATTTGCAACCAAAAGGTGAGTGAGCGTAGCGAACGAACTATAACCTGGAGGCGAGTTAGCGTAGCGAACGAGCTAACCTGAAGGTAAGTGAGCGCAGCGAACGAGCTCCAACCTAAAGGTGAGTGAGCGTAGCGAACGAGCTCCAACCTAAAGGTGAGTGAGCGTAGCGAACAAACTTTAACCAGGACGTGATTGAGCCATGCGAACGAGATAATCTTGAAAATTAAGAAGTTAATCGGGGCAAAGCCCGCGGGTTACAGCTAGTTTAATATAAAGAAGAGTGAAATTTAAAAAAAAAATTCATTTAAATTTAATCATTAGTATTTTTGCAACTTCAAAATTAAAATTTAAAATGTCAATAATAAATATAAGGTAAATCTCATATCAGCCAACCCAAGATTTAAAATTAATCAAAACCAAAATGGTGCTATCCACTACTAACCAGATTTAAAAGTCATATAACTTAAACGTTTCTATTAAGGCTATAACAGTTGAATTTTGTTTCTAAAAGCGTTGGCGGATGTGTTATATGCAAGAGATAAAGATTAAAATGTGTCTATTTTGTGTCCTTTTCCCGTTGCAAAGCACGGGTACAACAGTTAGTTTATTATTAAAATAATTAAAGTAATATTTACATTTAAAGAATTAATTAAATAAGAACGCCTTCGCAAAGGAAATGCAACTACAACACGCTCCTGTATTGCGGGTATTGCATTGACTTTCTGCAGGCGTTTTTAATTTTTTTTTTTTTTTTTTAATTCTCGTCTCGATAAAAATCTCGGCCAAAAAGAAATCTCGTCTCGTGTAAAGAGATTTAAAATTTCCCGAAATTTCTAGACTTGACCAAGATAACACGCTACTTGTTAATTAAGATATTATCCTAATTCCTAAGTATTCCTAATTAAATTGTAGCTTTGTTGTATGTGTCGAAGCAGTCTGCCAATCTCCCAATTTGATTGGCGATATTGTTGAGGGCAGAAGCAACGCTTGGTATGTGATTAAGGGCAGAAGCAATGCTCTGCATTGCTTCCGCCTTTTTCTTAGAATTTTCCACCCACTCTCCCACAACCTTCCTCTTTGAGTTTAGATGAGAATCTGAAAAATGAAATAAAAAATACTTAAGTGTCACTTTGAAACTACTTCTTTGTGTTCTATGAACAACAAAACATAATGTTTAAAAAAATATAAACTTTCATCAGCAAAAATAGCAAGAGATTTGGGTATGAGAAAAAATTAAAATCATCCGACTACAAAAAGGTTTTGAACCTGATTGTACCTATGTATGGATGTATTTTTGTGTGGTATGACTTGACTGGTCCTGTTCACGTATGATTTTTATAGCGAATGATCTGAAAACATAAAGAGGGCACACCAAATTTTAAATCAGACAACAATTGCAATTGCTATTTATTGTAACAACACACATTTATAAGATTTTTTATTACCCAAGGTGTGCAATGAATAAAATTATGAACTTATATCATGGTATCCCACTTAAATTTTACCATTTTGATTTTACTTTAGCCGACTTTTACTACTGAAAATAACTTAAAAGTAAAAGAGCTAAAGTAATTTTTTGTAAGATACTTGAAAAACAAAATACAGCTCAGAGAACTTAATGAGATACATCATTAAAATGTCCACACTAGCGCTATGGGCTGGTATTAACTGAAGAGGTGGGTCATTGAGTTATAAAAGATTTACCTCCATCCCTAAGATTAGGTCTTTTTGGCGGGGGAGGGAGGGGGTCATCTTCATAGTCACTCTCTGCATACTGTGGTGCATCTATCTGAAAAGACATTTTTCCATCAAAATTTTGCAAATTTTTGTGCAAAGAGTTTCTCAAGTAAATACAAACAACAACCAAAAAAATTTTGAATAGATTTCATCCAATTCAACAGAAAATGATCAAGAATCAAATCTATTAGACGAGTTAATTATCAAGATAAAAAATTAACTTAAGAAATAGACTGATGGGCTATTTTATTTATTTTTTGTCACATGTAACCTGTTTGTAATCTGTATATTGTTTCATATTTTCATGTAATTGAGTGCTATTGTTACTGATAAATATTAAATACTTTAAATTTTATCAGCTAATTCTTCAAGTTTGCATGTAGTTTTCCTAATGTTTGTATTGTATTAATAAATTGTTTGTTAATTGTCATTTGTTTTAATACAGTTAAAGTATATCAGTTATACAATATTTTACATTACGAATTTATATTATTTATTTTAAGAAGATTTTTCTGTAACGTTTCTTTTTCATTCAAGCTAACTGGACTAATTTTTACGACTGAGATTTCGTTTGAAAGCTTATGATTTAGCACATGGCATAGGGGTAATTTAAACAATTAAGTCCTCTCAACTCCTACCCTATGATTTATTTCTGTAGGACCCTGTCAAATGCTTTCTTTTCAACTGTTTTAAAGTGAATTGCAACAAAACAGCTCCACCATTAGACACATTTTTAATCAGATAAAAAAATAGTCTACAACTGAAAACAGGAGAAAAAACACTTATGAAAATAATATAAAATTGTGCAAAGGTCCTCTAATTTTCATTTATACCAGCTATGCAACTAGCTCAGATTTATTATCTTTTATTTGTTTCAGCTCTAAATAAACTATTAAACAATTTTAAATTTATAAAACAATTCCTTAAAAAAAAAATCACCTTCCTTAGAATAGAATAAGTTACAGCTAAGAAATCATTGGCTTGAAAATACTTTTCACAACTTTAATGAATTCCTTTATAAAAATAACAGTTTTAAAAGAATTTTAAAATTTTTTAAACTTTTATTTGTATTACCCTATTTCATATAAAATAAAAAACTAATTCTCGGGCATGTGTTGTCGATATTGTAATAAATAAATTAAATAGGTAGGGTGTTATGTTTTATGTCTTTTTTAAATACTCAAGAAAAATGTAAAATGAACAAACCTTTGATCATAGGACTTTATTTGGTAAGTTTTATTTTTGCTCTCCTAAGAGCAATTCTTTAGAGACAAAAAGAGTTAACAATATTTATTTATATTCCTTACCCCTATTTCCATTATCCCTCTGATTCCTTCCACAGCAGTTTTACCAAGAAGTGAAAGCACCCTCTCGGTCGCTGGCATCGAGGCTGCAGGCTCTTTGCTAGTCACAGGCATAGCTGTTTGATCTTCATCGTCTTCGGAGGATGATGAAACTGGCCCTCCACCAGTTTTCAAACTATTCTTTCTCATGTTGGCTGCCTTTTTCTTGCTGGCTACTTTTAGATCAGTCCATGTCTGTAAATAATTAACAGGCATCAAACAAGACATATCCAAAATAGTTTAAGTACAGCTTTTAAGAAATTGGCGGGTATTGATCTTGCTAATTAGATTTTCATCATTATTAATAGTATTGAAAGAAAAACTCATAATGAATACTGATCAGGTAAGTTATATTCAAAGTCTAAATGAGTAACTTTCTCTCTGTCAACAGTTGGTTTTGTTGTTAACATTAAAAATTACAAACCTAAAACTAGATGGACTTGGTAGGTACTAAAAGATTTTCTAAGAGAATGTCACATTTTGAGAAAATTCCATTGGACACACAAGAATTCATAGCAGATAATTTATTTTACTTTTAGTCCAGTTACTGCCCTAAAATTAAACACCCCTATCACAGCTAACCTGCAAACAATTTCCATTTACCTGGCTGGATTTTTACTAAAATATTTTCTCAAAATTGTCAGATTGATTTCCAATCCAATCAAGAACTTAAAACATTAGTTTTATTTAGTACTGTACTTAGGTCTGCTTCTACAGGGAAGATATTGAGATGTGGTTTTTTATTGCATTGTTGATAGCTGGTATAGGCTAAATTAAACAAAATAATCACAACAGTTTATTTATTTTCCATAAGAATAACATGGAAATTTTAAATTTGGTTTTTAAGTGACCTATCTCTGAGGAATAGTTGGGCTACTACAATGCAATTTAAAAAATTATTTATTTTTTAAACTCTGCAAAAATGATATGGAGAGAAATTATAAAATTTTTGGTTTTAAGGGTGAAAATGAATTTTTTTACTCCTTAAAACCCCCATAAACTTTGTTCCCATGATCCGATTATGGTGGTTTGCAAACTCGTTTGAATAAAAATAAGTTTATACCAAATTTTATCAAAATCGAATCATTTTTGCTTTAACGGACACATAAGTTAAGTTACTGTATTTGAATTTGAACAAAGAGTGTTTTTGGCCCCTGGGGACCTCAAAATGAGAAAGTAAATTGGTCCCGGATCTAGGTCTTCATGAGACCTGCGGTGATAGGTTATCCTCCATAAGTTATGGGAAATTTGCTAAAAAAAGTAAATTATCGAATATTCACTCAGTAAGTTAAATAACACATTTATAAATTAAAAACAAAATAACTTCTTGTTCGGCATTGTACGTGTTATTACATTTTTGGAAAGTAAATTAAAGAACTAAACATATCTTATAACATTAAAAACATATATTTACGCGTACTATTCACAAGATATAAAAGATGTTAAGTTGAGTCGTGATTGATTTCTATTGGACACTCCAATCATCAGGTCCCAATAGGCGAATGGCATGGTTTTATGTTATTCTAAATTTCCTCCTTTTTTTAATGAAACAAGTAAGTTTAAGTTAAAAATGACTAGATTCAACAGTAGTTGGGAAAGTACCCAGTTGTTTAGGCCCTGCGAATAGTAAAAAACAACTCTGCAGGATTGCCAGGGCGCCGAGCAATTTGGCGTAAATGGGTGCAGGGCAGCCCTAGAGGGTTAATAACTCTGATATGAAAGTTATGTAGGCATAGGGGCCTACCTCTTAAAAATAAGTTTCTGTTAGGAAACACCAAAGTCCATAACCTAGGCCTAACTCATATTCCCCTCACAAACAAATAGGCCTATAACGTATTAACTTAAACTGAGAACGCAAGGTTTCTGGTAGATTTTACTTGTTATAGCCTAAATAATAAATAACTTAAAATGGCACTGTTAAAACAACCTTTAGAAGTTATGAATGGCTTGAGCTTGCCATAGCCTTATTATTAAAACTAGGCATACAATTAAAATTAATGACTGTTAAATAACCTATAACTTAGATAAGCTTTGAATAACTTAGCGTAGCTTAGGCCTTTCATAGCCTATTTTAAAAACTTGGCCTATTCTTAGCCCTTCTTAATAATTAACATAATGGTACTGTTATACCAGTCAAACAGAGGATTTAGGCTGAATAGATTTTGGGCCTTTAAGAACCTATTTTTAGTTGCCATACCCTAAGTTAAGTAGGCCTAAGTTATAACTTAGTGTTTTCTTATACCAAAAGGTTGAACATTAATAACTTAGTAGTAAAATAATTATATGATTTATCTATGGTTATATCTTCTCCTATTATTAGGTTACTTACCCTTTTCCACTGTTTGACTGTTTTGAATGCTCCTCCAAGGCTATTTAGCTTAATGGTGGCCTCTTCCCACTTTTTGTTGGAGACCTCCCTTGTGTAATATGCATCTAGTTGGTTCGTCGCCAACTTCGGATTTTGTTCTAAAAATGCTATAAGGAAATCCCTCTGTCTCTCGGACATTTTCCCACTTTGCGGTTGTTGATACGACATAGTAGTGATTGTGTCGACGATTGATGCTAGCAATGCCGAAACTAAACTTCAAAATCGTTTTGAGCGGTTAGAGGAAACGGAACAGTGTAGAGTTGCCTACTGCACTGTGATTGGTTCAAAATGACGTCATCTGAATTTCGTGCGGTCGTATGCTCTACATTTCCAAAACGAGTCACTCAACTAGTGATTCCCAACTCGCTTCCCAACTGTTGGGTTTCAAAAATACCAAATCCAGTTGTTGGTCGAGTTGAGTGTTGACGATAGACTCAACAGTCAACCATTTCAAAAATAGGGCCCATGGTTTGCCATGCATTAAAGATTGACAAACAATTTTTTAACCAAAAAATATAATAAAGAAATGGTTGGATCATAAATGATCCACGATGCAGTACAGGGTTAAATAATTTAATGATTACATATAATTTAATGTTATGCTAATTGTACTTGAATTTGTGACAGATGATTATTATTATTGTAGTTTATGTTTGTGGTTGTTATGTTGTGAATCATTCTAAAAAGTCAATTAGGCTATACCACCATACAAATTATACAGGCAAATCTCAAATCGTACAAATTACTTATTTTAATGAAATCTATGTGCATTTGAATTATGTATAACATACTTTATACATATAGTTTTACTTTAAAAAAATCAATAATTTTGGGTTTGTAGGTACAGTATGACAGATTTAAAGAACCATTGTTCACTTTTTTGTTCTCTGCCAATTGAGAAGCACAGAATAGTGCCAAACTTATTGCATAATCTGGTTAAATTAACCAAGAAATATGGTCTTAAATTTAATAAGATTTAAAATCATGGACAATAAGACAATAATCTTACTAATATTATAAATCTGAAAGTGTGTGAGTGTGTTTGTGTGTGTGTTGCTCAATCACGCATAAACTACTGGACGGATTGGGCTGAAATTTGGCATGATGATAGCTCACATTCCCGATTCACATTAAAGCATATTCTTATCTCAAAAACCCTTTCGGGCTCCGCCCCAGTGGCTCTGTAGTTCCCCATGTTAATCTTATGATTTTTCATATCCTTATATATAATACGTGAAGGCGATTTCTACGAAACACTACTCCTCCGTTAATAATGGACGGATTTTCACAAACGACGTGTCAAAATAAAGTATTTTTTGTGTAGACGCCCCGTTTCACCAATTCCTGTAATAAAAATCCTCGGGCTTTGCCCCACAGGCCATCAAAGTTGGAGTTTCTCCCTTAAGATTAACATGGGGGAATAATCTAAATATTTAATTGGAAACTTAGTCCCCACTAATGTGAGAGAACGGCTGGGCGTAGAAACTTGGAGAGGTGTCCAAAGAAAGGTCTTGGTCTGTAGATGAGTTATCAAAAGAAAAACGAAGCAAAATCCCTTAGGACTCTGCCCCAGAAGCCTTTAAAGATCCATCCACAGAGCTGTTTACATTTTGGCCATGTGAATAATACTTTTTAATGAAACAGCTGTTCAATTTTAAATTGTATTTCAAACATCACATATTTATTGGGAGTTACCGGTACTGAATTCTACCAAATAAGTATTTGCAATGTTGTTTTCTGATTTCAAAATTTATTTTCTTCTTTATCATGTCATGTTTTGCAATATAACGTTACATTACGGAATCAGTGGAAAATGATTTTATCACAGCAGTTCTTAAACTATTTGTTATTGAACTATCTTATATCTATTAAATTCCATGTTAATGGCCCCTGGATTACTATAAATGACTATAATTGAGCGGAGCGAGCGAAGCGAGCGTAGCTCTTTGGGATCAACTTCAATGCAACAAATAGAGAGACATCACTCAATAACGGCTGAACGCATTTCAGCCAAACTTAACAAAATTACTTAGACTAATAGTGAGATGGTTTTCAAACAAGCAAATTTCAATTAGATAATACTAATGCAATTTAAAACGAACTTAAAATTTCCAATTTTTAACATTAGGCTTATGGGACTAAAGTAGCCATATGACAGTTTTTTGTTTACAAGAAAAATGTAAACAAGAGAATCATAAGGTATTTCTTAACTTTCTAGACTTTTCTTTTAAACGTTTTCAAACCATTCCTATGATTTTAATAAACAAGAAAATGCCGTTAAAACATTTTTTCAAGGCGCGGAATTCACTGAAAATTGAGAAAATATACGGAACTACTTTCTCAATGCGCGGAGCATAAACAAGAAGCGGAGGGATACGGACCGCGGTGACTACTTTCTTGGGAACCTATTTGTGTTGCCAGCTGATTAGAATTTAGAAACAGCCAATGTTAGAAATCAGAATCTAATAAGCGATATATCGAACCGCATCGAAATCGATATTTAATCCGATAATACCTCACAGGTTATATTATGTTGAATTACATCGACGGTGCAGTAAGTTATTACACTTATTAATAAAACGCAGATTGAACACTGATCTAATTTCGGCATGTGGGGAAGGTAGGTCGGGGTTTATGAGTATTCGTGGTTTATGAGTATCAGTGTTTTGAAGTAAGGTTAGATTAGGAAGGTAAAGTGTAGGTTATAGGTAGGTGATCGGGTTGTTTATTTGTGTTGAACCATGTAATTTTTATCTTTTGGAATAGTTGGTTAAACGGGGAAACGATTACAAAAATGCTTGCATTATGGTATTAACAAGCCATCTATGGTATTCTAGCATTGTCTTTATATAAAGTCAATGATTCTAGAAAATTACTACATAAAAACCAAATGAAAAGAACATTTGTATTTGGACCTTTGACCATAGCAAAACTAACATGTAATTTATGAAATGTGAAAAGTTGTATATCATTAAATACAATTCTGTAATATTAATAATTGTTCGGCAAATCCTCATTTTAGTGGCTCTGCTGAAAATGGAATCTGCGTTTTGTGAAACAGTAATTTGGTAACAATTCAGTAATTTCAAATGTTGACAACAGTAGCCTATCCTATATAAATACTGTTATTTGATTGCCAAGCCACGGACTATACATACGTCCGAGTTATTATAATTTTAATCAATAAAACCATAAAACCAACATTAGTACATCTATTGACTTTTTTACATTTAGTTACTTATACAAATATCAAACCACGTTTGTTCCGCTCAACTGGCTTTCACCTCTCTGAAAGCAACCCTAGTATTGTGGTATAATTACCTCGTCAAGTAATCCAAATGATGTGTTAGGCTAAAAACCTACATGTTTCGCCGTTAATACGGTATCGTCAGGGTACAAACACAGTAAGACATTGCTGTCACACGCATACAATAAATAAATAACACGAAACGAATTACGAACATAACATTTAGATAGGCCTATCACGAGACGCGGACGGTCCCGGCGCAGGTAGTAGACTGCAGCGTCAGACTCCTTGCTCATTGTTGTCCACGTTATCAGCAGGACAAAGGCCAGGTGGTCGGTTACTTTGGTTTATTAAAACATTGAAGATGGAGTGTGAACGAAACTGTAGTTTTTCATTGAGGATATGTCCACTTGCGGTGTTGTCATTGTATAATTTGTATATTTCAAATTCCTCAAGCGTGTTTAATTTACTACCTTTTCTACATACATGTAGCACCTCTAGACCGTCAGCAATCCCACTCATATTATGGTTTAGGTCAATCAAATGTTGGGCGAACGCTGAATTCTGTTTGATTGAACGTGGTTTGGGCCTGTGTTCATTGTAACGAGTAACGAACCCACGACCTGTTTGACCTATATATTGGCTTGGACAATCTTGGCATTTAATTTTATAAACACCTGTCATTTCAATTTTCTCTCTTGTTTTTTCAGTCTGTGACAGGGTATTGCGAGTACGATTTGTGGTTTTGAATGTTAATTCTATTCCCTGCCTACGAAGCTCTTTGGATAGGCAATTTTGTAATGTGTGGGAAAATTCAACACAAACGTACTTCTTACGCTCGTCCAATTGTTTGACCTTCCCTTTGTGGTGTTTGGTTATAAGTTTGTCTACAAGCCTGCTGTTGTAGCCGTTAGATGTTTCTATATGTTTAATAATATTGTATTCTTTGTTGTAATTTGTGGGACTTAGAGGGACCGTTAGGAGTCTATGTACCATTGAGTTGAATGCTGCAATTTTTTGTGAGTGTGGGTGGTATGAGGTTGCATGAATGGTCTGGACTGAAAACGTGGGTTTCCTGTAGATTGTATAATCAAAATTATTGTTAATTTTAGTTACAGTTAAATCCAAAAAATTAATTGCGTTGTTCTCTTCCGTTTCCAAGGTGAACTTTAGCCTGGGAGCTATGTTGTTGAGATAATTTAATTGTAGATCTAATTGCCTTTTATTGCCATCAAACAAAACAATGGTGTCATCGACATATCTATTGTATAGGACTATTTTTGAATGATATTTGTTTTTGTTTGATAAAATGTATTCATTTTCGATATGATTTAAATATATGTCAGATAGGATACCAGACAGTGGGGATCCCATGGCTAGACCATCGGTTTGAGAATAAAATTTTCCATTAAATACAAAATAATTTTGTTTCAAGATCTCTTTTAGTAGGTCAATTACCTCAGTTATTGCTTCTGGTAACATATAGTTGATTTGTTGGTTAGGTTTGTTTGTATTAAGTCTATGGTTTTTTCTACGGGTACATTCGTGTACAAGTTCACTATATCAAAAGAGGCAAGCAAGTGGTGGTTTTGTACGTGCCAACCCTTAGTTTTTTCAAATCACTCAACTAGTGATTCCCAACTCACTTCTCAACTGTTGGATTTCAAAAATACCAAATCCTGTTGTTGGTTGAGTTGTGTGTTGACGATTGACTCAACTGACAACCATTTCAAAAATAGGGCCCCATGGAAAAATTACTCTAATATGCTGTAATTAATATATCACATTTTGAAAACTCAGAAAGTTGGCGGAGGAGAAAGATTCGTGAAGAAATCCTTCTGTACACACAGTGTGAATATGGGTATGAAAGCGCAGGTTTTTGTCAAGCACAAATCCCAAGAACTTGACATGTCTTGAGCTCAACATCATTCAAAAGGAAATTGCTGATTTAGAGTTTTACACTCCCTGTAGCAGCAAACCTACTACATAATCCTATACTCTAAAACGAGCAATGTCTGCTTGTATGTATGCTTGCTTGCAAAAAGATCCCGAAAACGGCTCCGACGATTTTCTTCAAATAATCTGGTAAATAGTTTATTTTTGGCCTAAAAACGAGCTTCATGCAGTTAGAACTCCCAACAAAAATCTAATTACGTAGAAAAACGAAACTGAAAGTTACATTTTTTTAACATTAGTCTTATGAGTTGTTAAGTAACCATGTTGGTTGAATTAAATAACAAGGAAAAAGAAAACAAAAGACTTAGAAGTTGTAGCCGTAGCACGTGTTCATAATAAGCCAACTACCCACAATATACTAGCAAATTACAAATACAGTACAAAAGGGAAAGCATCACTTGCTACTATTGAGCAAAGATTATACTGAAGACTACTCGATACATTGTAGGCCTAGTAAAGGCAAGCAGTACGAAGTGTGGGATCTGTTTATGACAATTAGATTAAGGTATTTGCAATCAAAAAATGCTATGGGAAGGGAGGAAAACAGGTCCGTGACATAGGAAGTGATAAAGGAAGTAGTAAAAGCGAGCAGTCTGTAGTGTGGGAACTGATAATGACGATTAGATTATGGTATTTGCAATCCTAAAATGCTATGGGAAGGGAGGAAAACAGGTCCGCGACGTAGGAAGTGGTGAAGGAAGTAGTCAAGGCGAGCTGTCTGGAGTGTGGGAACTGTTTATGACGATTAGATAAGGATATTGGCAATACTAAAATGCTATGGGAAGGGAGGAAAACAGGTCCGTGACGTGGGAAGTGGTGAAGGAAGTAGTCAAGGCGAGTAGTGCGGAGTGTGGGAACTGTTAATGAAGATTAGATTATGGTATTTGCAATCCTAAAATGCTATGGGAAGGTAGGAAAACAGGTCCACGACGTAGGAAGTGGTGAAGGAAGTAGTCAAGGTGAGCTGTCTGGAGTGTGGGAACTGTTTATGACGATTAGATAAGGATATTGGCAATACTAAAATGCTATGGGAAGGGTCGAGGAAAACAGGTCCGCGACGTGGGAAGTGGCGAAGGAAGTAGTCAAGGCGAGCTGTCTGGAGTGTGGGAACTGTTTATGACGATTAGATATGGATATTGGAAATACTAAAATCCTATGGGAAGGGAGGAAAACAGGTCCGAGACGTAGGAAGTGGTGAAGGAAGTAGTCAAGGTGAGTAGTCCGGAGTGTGGGAACTGTTTATGACGATTAGATAAGGATATTGGCAATACTAAAATGCTACAGGAAGGGAGGAAAACAGGTCCGCGACGTGGGAAGTGGTGAAGGAAGTAGTCAAGGCGAGTAGTCCGGAGTGTGGGAACTCTTTTTGACGATTAGATTAAGGTATTTCCAATCCTAAAATGCTATGGGAAGGGAGAAAAACAGGCTCGCAACGTAGGATGTGGTGAAGGAAGTAGTCAAGCCGAGCTGTCTAGAGTGTGGGAACTGTTTATGACGATTAGATTAAGGTATCTGCAATTTTTAAATGCAATGGGAAGGGAGGAATACAGGTCCGCTTCGTAGGAAGTGGTGAAGGAAGTAGTAAGGCTAGCAGTGCTGAGCGTGGGAACTGTCTGTGGCAATTACATTAATGTGTCTGCAATCAAAACATGCAATGGGAAGGGAGGGAAACAGGTCCACGACGTTGGAGTGCTGAAGGAAGTAGTAAAGGCGAGCAGTGTGGAGTTTGGGAATGGATTTATGTATCTGCAATACTAAGACTGCTTTCAGAGCAAACTAATGATTTCCCCGAGCAAAGCTCGGTCCCCAGGTACTGTTAATTAAATTGAATCAATAAATTCATAAAATCAATTCAGGCAAATGGAAATTTGCTTAGTCGGCAGGTTTGCTGTGTTGGGGGTACGTTAGTTATCTATGCTCATAACAATTAATAATTGAAAGATTGAATTGTAAATATTTATTTTCTATGCGTATGCAAGGACGTCGGACGAGGTAAGATTCGTAAATATGTAGGCTGACAAAAATGTGTTGTGGTGACATCTATAATCTTTTATGTTGAATAAACCCAATACATTAATTTATTATTTTTGAACGAACAAGACTTTGAAGAACGCAAACATGACACAAATTACAGTACGTTTTATTCGTAAATTAATTAGTCCATAGGCCAGGATTTTGTACCAAGTTTTTTTGTAAATATTTCAAAGCCAAACTAATTTAAGCAACCCAACCAACCAAAAACCAAAAACCATCCTTCCTAACTCACCTCGCCGCACTGACTGATATTTAGTGATATTGAATAGACGCCATTTTCAATTCTGTTGGTTGGTTAGTTGTTAAAATTCTACCAGTGAATACAATTCGAATTTTACGGCTGATTGTTGTTGATTACTAATGCATTTTTAGCAGTGTGTTGTGTTATTAAACTTTTATGGATCCCATTCTGGGCTGGTTTCAGCCAGAACAAGAAGGACCTGCCAAAGATCTTTGGTCCAGAATTTGGGACGCCCATACAGGGCTAGATAATTTAAAAATAGGGAGTGGGAACGAAGTTAGTAGAGGTCAGGATTTAATTACATTTGATAATGTAGGAAGTAATGATTGTGGAGTGAAACGTGCGCAGACAAACAATTTGAATAACAATAATTCTGTCTCAGTCAACAGGGCAAGCACTTACGCCATGAATAAGAATCGAGCTACCTTGATAGGAGTTCATGGTGGTAACCCTTGGCGGACGCCCAACCGTGTCTACGACTGCAGAGGGATCATCGGGTAATTTATATTTACGTCATTTTTACTACTATTTAGTTTCAGATGGTAACTTACTCTCAAGATTTAAGTTTAATTAAGGAACATTTGGATCCGGATATAGGCCCTAGCTTACAATAGGCCTAGGCCTACTTAGTAGGCCTAAATCTGTTGGAAGCCTAAGTTAGGCTTTGGCCTATGACTAGTAGGCCTAGTCCTACGCTTATTCATAATAGGCCTACTGCATCTGAGAATCCTAATTATTGTGTCACCCTGCTTAGATTAGACCCTCTTTTGGGATGCTTAGGGTAGGTAGGCTAAGTTATTGTTTTGGAAGCCGGGGTAATAAGAGACATGAGGGGTAATAAGAGACAAAAAAATAATTATAAGTTGTTGTACCTAGGTACTAAAAAACGGAAAATTCTAATAACATAGGTACCTATTCAATAATATTAACCTTCATTTTTTATGTCCTATTGAATTTTTGGCTTACCCCACTGTCTCTTATTATCCCGTCGGGGTATTAACCCTCCGAGTGTTATGTGTCGAAAAATCGACACATAGGCTACCGGTAACACACTTTGTGTAGGTAGTGTTTTGTGTAGATTTTTCGACTCAAACACTGTTTACGTCGAAGGCTCTATGACTGACAAAATCGGATTGAACTGGATCGAGTTAGGTAGGCTATCGTTTTATTTGGCAGATTCCAAGCTTTCTCCCGAGGTCTGTCTCTAAGCGCTTTTTTTTCTCGAGCCGATCATAATTGTAGCAGCAGACAGCTGACGTGGGTATTTGTAAACAGCTTGGATGTGTTTTATTACGTTTAAATTATCATTGTTTTAGTGTTAAAAATCAAAAGTAGTGATATACGTGGTGCATTATAAGAAGATTTAAGTGATTTTGAAGGGCTGGTTCCTGAAGAAGTAGCCTAGGTAGTGATATTGATATAAATTATCAGCCAGATTCCTAGCTATGGTTAGGCTATGCATTCTTAGCTAAACGCTATCATAGATAAATCATACTCCCTTAGTAGATTTGTCATCCTTATGGAACAGCTGAAGCCAATTTTATTGTTTGTTCTGTACGTCCAAAAGTTCGTACAGTTCTGAAGGTACTACAAAGTTCAAGATTTCTTAAATGATACTGAAATATAATCTAGTGGTTCTAGTCATTAAGTATTAGTTTTGTTGTTTTATATTATCTACTTTTATATGTTTATCACATTCAAACACTTACGGGAATTATTTGTTTGTGTCAAAATCATATATTATTGTTCATATATTTATTCTCTGTTAATTTTTTTGTTGCCATTTTGTTACCCGTAGATTTACAAATTTTATATACCTTGTTATGTTTGAATATGTTCATGTTGTATTGTAGCACTAAATTTAAGACTGTGATCAACATCTTAGGAACCAATTTATGTTTTAGAATAATTAAGGACTGAGAATCAATTTTTAAGAGATCAAGACGAAGCACCTGTACATGTGATTTTCACAAATTTGTATGTTATGTGCAAATAAATTATCATTATCATTATCATTATCATTATCATTATCATTATCCAACTGTAGAGGTTATGTTTTGTTGATGGTGTCAATCCGTTTTTTGTTAATATCACGATCTCAGTTTTGCTCAAAGCAAGCGAGAGACCGTGGTCTTTCATCCATGCGTTAATCCCTACGCATAACTCGGTTCAGCTTTAGCTGAGCCAGCTCAACGCTACGTGCAGCTATCAAAACTGCAACGTCGTCCGCGTACCCAACCAAAACTGCAACGTCGTCCGCGTACCCAACCAAAACAGTTTCCTCAGGAATTTCAGACCTCAGGAGGCTGTTATACGCGACATTCCAGAGGTCCGGGCCGAGTATGGAACCTTGGGCAGCACCAGAAGTGACACTCATCGTCCGTGGGCCCTCTGTAGTGTCATACTAGAGGAGGCGGAACCGGAGAGAATACTCTATGATACGCATGAGGTATGCCGGGACGTGGAAGGTGTTCTCCAGAGCATCCAGCATATCGCATCACCTCGCCGAATTAAATGCGTTTCGCACATCGAGAGTGACGAGCAGCACAACCCTTCGAGAGTAGTGGTTAAATTCCTCAGCTCTCATCACGGCTTGCTTCACCTCTTCAACAGCGTCAACCTTAGATCGCCCCATCCTGAATCCATAGGTCCCCTCCAGCGACCACGGCTGAATTCAGTCGGGAACGTATCAACTTCTCGAGGACTTTTCCAGCCGTATCCAACATACTCAGAGGTCTGTAAGAGGATGGCAGGTCTGGGTCTCCCTTCCCCTTCCCAACAAGCACAAGCCCAGCTGTTTTCCAGCACGAGGGGAAAACTCCTTCGACTAGGCAGGCGTTGTACATGCACATAAGGATCAAGGGGTTAATAGTCAAAACCTTTTTGAGAACTTTGCCGGGTACCCCATCGGGTCCAGGAGCCTTATTTTTCTTCAGGGATAGGACGGCCGCCTCCACCTCTCCAAGACTGAAAAGTGGTACGTCATCCACCCTTCCGAAATCCCGCAGTGGGCGCAACGTGTGAGCCGGGAAAAGGGACTCGACTATCCTCTCTATAGTGGCCCCATCCATGACGGAAGGTGGAGAGCGGGTGCCAAGTTTCTTGGTTACCAGTTTGTAACCCAAGCCCCACGGATTGGAATCGATATCGTCCCTTAATGTCTCCCAGCAACTGCGTTTACTCCGGTTGATGGCTCGACAAAGAGACCTCCTAGCCACTCTGTAAGCATCCGACTTACGACGTCTGTCTACAGGTTCTCTGGCCCTGGTAGCAAGTCTTCTGGCTCTCAATGCTGACCGACGCAATTCCGCAATCTCGGCAGTCCACCAGTACACAGGTCGCTTATTGCACCAGGATCTCTTGCGAGGCATAGACTCATCGCAAGCGGAGACGATTAGTCCCATCATGGATGTAACAAGACATTTTTACTAAAACCAATCACCCACCTAGTTAATTCTTCTTTGATATCCGGTATATTTCCTGATAAGCTAAAAATTACAAAATTAAAACCACTTAACACGTTCAGTGCGGAATACCTTCAAACAGGCGCTCGATAATGGCGGCGAGGCCCGGGCGAAGCCCCGCAGCGCAACTGAATTGGTGAACGCAATTATTGGCATTAAAATATTTCAGTCTGACGAATAAAAAAAGAGCAGCGGTGATTGTGCTGGGTTAGCCCGAGAGTGGACGTAGTTCACTGAAACACCCAAAGGTAGCAGCACTGCCTGGATTCGTAGCCAGTGTCTTTGTAAAGTGGCTCGAAAAGAGAAAATTGCCGGAACCGGGACAAAAGTATTGCTAGACGGGATTTTACGGGAAATTTTAGTACCAACCTACACCAGACTAAAGCTACATAATCTAAGCTACAGGCTGGCAACGATTATAACGTTCCCCGGCAATGGCTGAGCTCACACTAAACTAACGTGGAGAGAGTGGCATGACGTCAGCTTTAGCTGATGTCCGCCACCAGTGCTAGTGTCGGACATCATCTATTGATGATGCCCGCACTCAACGTGTTAAAAAAAGGGGGACAGGCAAATGGTGTCAAATTACCGACCGATAGCTTTGTTACCCTCTATATCTAAGATTTATGAAAAAGTAATTTATAATCAATTGGTAACATTTTTTGAAAATAACAATCTGTTTGACAACTTTCAACACGGGTTTCGCAGAGGTAAATCAGTTATAACTGCTGCCACTGATTTTATAGAATCGGTCATTGATAGTCTGGATGGTAAATTTAAGGTAGCGGGTTTGTTCTTAGACCTGCAAAAAGCATTTGATTCAATATCCCATGATTTATTAATTTCAAGGCTTAGTACCTTGGGTATAGAGGGGACTGCTTTAAATTTGCTTAAATCTTATCTCTCTCACAGAAAACAGTTTGTTGAAATTATCTATCATAACCGTAAAAACTATAAAATTCCATATCAATCTTATACCACTGACTTAAAATATGGGGTTCCACAGGGATCCATTCTGGGGCCTCTTTTATGCATTATTTATTTAAGAGATTTTCCGCAACTTAGCAATTTAAGTAAACTCTGCTTGTATGCTGATGATACCAATTTGAAAATCATAGCCTCAACAAATGAAGAATTAGAAAGCAAGGCAAAATCAGACATATGCGTTTTAAATGATTTTTTTAACTCCCAAAATCTAAATCTCAATGTGGATAAAACAAGTATCATAAATTTTCAAACTCGAACTACCAGAAATCAACGTCGACCGATTATTAAATTTAATAATAAAACCATTGAAGTTAAGGATAGTACTAAATTTTTAGGATTAGTAATAGATAAAAGACTCAATTGGAACTGTCATGTTGAAAAAGTACTTTCAAAAGTTTCTTCTGGATTATATGCCTTAACTAGATTAAAAAACTATTGCGAAATAGAAACTTTGAAGTTGGTTTACTTTTCATACATACATTCAGTGATTTCATTTGGGATTTCCCTTTATGGCTCAACCAATAAGAGAAACTTAAAATCTATATTAAGAATGCAAAAAAAAGCTATAAGAATAATTTACAACCTTCCACCTAGAACTTCTGTTAAGAGAATGTTTAAAACAGAAAATATAATGACAGTTTTCGGTATGTATGTTTTTGAAACAGTGGTATCTGTTAAAAACAGATTTCATGAAATAGAGCTGGTTGGAAGGGAACATGATTATCTTACAAGAAATCAAGGCAAGTTAGCATTAAGTCCTCATAAATTGCGCCTTTTCGAAAAAAAACCCAAATACGCCGGAACAAAATTCTATAATAAACTTCCAAAGGACATACAAGCAGAAGTAAATATAAAAAAATTTAAAAATAAACTTAAGAAATTTCTCATTAGCAGGGCTATTTATTCATTTGATGAACTGTAATTGACTTTTCTTTCCCTAATAATCAAAGTATGTTTTAACTGTTAGTTTTATGTTCTTTTACAATTTTTCCCATTTACTATAAGCATGTATGTTTTATTATAACTTATAAGAAATGTGACACTATTCATGTATATATTTCTAATGTACTTGATGAATAAAGATAATTTGAATTGAATTGAACTAACACCTCTGCATGAGCCACGCTAGTTGCGGAGGGAACCACCGGTGTTCCTCGTAAGATGGCTTCATTGAATTTTGCCACGTCCAATTTTTTAATATTTCATCGAACGGGCACTTGACGAAACGCAGCTTCTTGTCTCTGATGACCATCCAGGACATCAAAAATAATGTACTGGTGGTCACTGCCCGTGTAATCCTCCAGAACTCTCCAGGCTCTGATCCTTGGCAAAAGGGACTCAGATGCAAGGGTTGTGTCTGGGATCGTTCCCCGCATCCCAGGGCGCCGGAGAGTTGGCGTGTTTCCCTCGTTGACGACAACGAGTCCCGCTCTGGCAGCAAAGTCCAGAATGTACTTGCCCCGGGAATTGGTGAGGGTCATTCCCCACTCGACAGCCCTAGCATTAAAATCCCCACCCACGACGACGTGTCAACCCCTGCAACACAACAGGGGCACTCCCAGGCACTCCCAGTGAGTTCGTCGGTCACCCTTTTAGTCGCCTCTCACGACAAGCCTGAGAAGGCTGCGGTGCTATTCTAACCCGGTACCGCACGGGATTATATTTCAAATATAACACATGTTCGAATATAAATAAACTGCATGCTTATGAATGTTTTTTTCTGTACAGTATTCAATCTATATGAATTAAAAATCGTGTTAAGATGCCAATGAAACAATTACACATTAAGAAAACCCATTAACCACGGTAAATTGGATATTTTACAAGTATTTTTACAACATAAACACGTTCACGTAAATAATTTGGAAAATAAACTACATGCTTGTTTTCCAACACTTGTTAATATTATAAAAATGTTTTTTTGTACCGTTCTTGACTCCAGTTATTATCTCTCAGTCTATGAATGTTGCATAGTAGCAACTCGCAGAGACGCTCGGAACTAGGATGACTCATCGCTCTCCCCACCACTTATACGGGCTACGCCGATTTTCAGGTGGATTCACTTCACTCGCCCGAAGCCCTCTGTATTTCTAACCTGTGCTCTCTGAGACATAGGCTACGCACAAAAATACAGAACTTAATTAGGGAATTTGCTACGTTTTAAGCATAACAAAGTACATATAAAATTAGTATTTGAAATCTTTGTTAATGTCATCAAACTTTATCATAACAGTTTATATTTGCCTGGACCGAAGATGACCCGAAATGCTGTAGAAATGACTGCTTACTATATGAAATGAAGTACTATAGACAATTTAGATTGGCAATTTATAGTAAAAATTACCAAAATAGGCCACGAACTATTGATACATAAACAACTTAAAGCGTTTAAACAATTCGTGATGGTTTGCTGAATAAATGTTTTTAAATGTGCTATCGTTTTCTTAGCAAAAACTAACATTTTGGAATCCAGACAGAAAAAGCAAAACTTATACCGTCAAAACATGAATTAAATTGAATACGCCTGTAATAAATAAGGTGCAACACCAAATAAATATGTATAGTTAATGGTAGGAACAGAAAGTGACACATTGGAAAAGCGAGTTTAGCATCATCCGTAAACCTCTGTTACAATCACCCACAGTTAATATGCTATCCACTGGACATTTTATCCTTGCAGATTATTACCAAGTATTACTCTCATATTGACCTCAAGTATACAAAATGTTCTTTTGTAATTTGTTGCAATAAATTCTTGATTCTTGATTCCACCACACTTTACACAACCGCCATTGAAGAGCCGTCAATGAGTGGAAACCTCGTTTCTAAGCTATTGGCGACGATCATTATTATTTAAGTTTCCCAGCCGTATACAACACTGATTCAAGGTCTTCTTTCTGGTTATCAAAACTCAAGAACAATTTTTTACACAAAGAATCTCTTGTTCCTGATCTGGATGATGTCTAGTTATTTAATTTCATTTACGGTTACACTATTACACTATATTATTGCACTTTGCAATTAATAAATCTGTTATGTAAGAAACACGTTTTTAATCTCATTTGGTTGCGATTTGCTTTCAAAACGTGATCGAAAATGGTTGCACGGTATTTGTAAACATATCAGTGATAGCTAGAAAAAATAATCTTCATCCGAACAGCTGTTCGTTATTTTATAGATGATTTTGTTATAAAAACTAAACGAAAACTTGACAAAAATCGCACAAAACTGCATTTTTGAACATCCGTAATTTTATTTACAAAGTACAGTAGTGAGGCCATATTTTAAAAGACTAAAGACACTCTCGCCAATCCAGTGAATACATTAAAATGAATTGGATCTTGATAGGTACTCTCGTTTTCCTGGAGAAAATAGCATAACATGCCATTTTGAATGTTACAGACAGACAGAAAGACAGACAGACGGACAGAAATAGAGATAAGACTCATTTCTGCTTCTTTAATGTATAAAACGTAAAAATAACTTAAAAATATATAATTCTGAGTATATTGACGTGTTAAATTTTGTGTTAATTGATGTGTTAATTTTGTCTGTACTTGAGTATATTTTATTTTAGACTCCGCAAAAAAGAACTAACTTTTAATTTTTTCCACAGACTCCATCAAGAAATAGAAGAGTTTTATCAATACATGACCCCAACTGAAGAGGAACACCAAATGCGCCTCGGTGTTGTGAAAAAAATTAAAGATATAATTCATCAGCTTTGGCCGAAAGCAGTAGTAGAAGTCTTTGGTAGTTTTGCTACCGGCCTTTATCTACCTACAAGGTAAGTCACATTTTTGTGCTAATGAGATAGGCTATGCTGTTTACTGAACAGTTGGCCTATTCAAAGGTGTTGGCCCCCAAATCTTAGAACTAACTTCCAGCAAGTTAATTAGTGTTCAAGATCCTTTAACAATGTTATTAATTAGTGATGGGCGGATCCAAGAAAATGTCGGTACCGGATCCAGATACACACTGTCATAAGGGCGGGTTAAAAAAAACGTAATTAACAGAATGCCAATTTAAATCATACTGTTTAAAATTAAATTGGTAATGTATAAAGGTTTATATATCTTATATATAGAGTAATCTCCAGTTGAGTCCATAATACCTCATTTTTTGGGGACACTAAAAGTTTTCAAAATAATAAAATGAAACTTTGTGCTAAGTTTGCACGACTACCAAAAGGGTATCTGTGTATATTTTACTATAGTTCGGTCTTGAGTATGCTATATCGTGGTTTTTTCACGCAGCATCCAATTTATTTATACCTGGATCACCTCTTGTTGATCTCTTCTTTAAATTCATTCCAGGTCCACAGTACTGATAGGTGGGTATATGAAGTTCTACAGGTAAAATACCCTTTGTCTGTGTACAAGAAGACTATACTGTGTTCTAACTTAGAAAAATTTTTTATGGGGAGTCTTGACTTTTTATTCACCCTGTATGTACACAGATTATCTTCTTGTACACAGACACAGGGTATTTTATAGTGATGGACAAGACCGCAAACTTCGAGATTTTTAGCGAATTTCCCTATAGGGAAGTAGCTATTACCGTAGGTGGCACGGTAAGACCTAGACCCGGGACCGATTTACTTTTTCATTTTGATGTCCCCAGAGGCCAAAAACACCATTCGTTCAAATTTTTATATATGTATATATATATAGACATATATATATATATTTATATATATATATATATATATACGTCCGTGAACGCGATAACTTGAGTAATTTTTGTCCGATTTTGATGAAATTTGGTTTAAAGGTGTAAAGCGGGATAAACTTGAATGAGTTCGCGAACCAGCACGATCGGACCATGGAAACGGGGCTTTACGGGGGGTTTTATGGGGTAAAAATTGGTTTTTCTCACTTTTGACCCTCAAAATACAAAATTTCCCGATTTCTCTTTAGACCTTTTTAAAGAGCTTAAAAAAACAAATAATTTAGTATATAAAAGTATTTTTGTTCGATTATTAGTAACGGAGAAAATTAATAAAATTGTAAATTTTAAATTCCCATGTTATTCTTATGGAGAATATTGTCAAATGTTGTAGTTTGCTTGTTTATGGATATATTTTGATCAAACTTGGCAAATTTATTTATTTTGTACTAAGCTATCAATATTTTCCTCAAAAACACACATTATTAGTTTCCTTGTAGCAGCAAACCTAGGTACTCGTTAAACCTAATGTTATTAAAATATATTTAACTGAAAATCAATTCAGACAAATGGAAATTCGCTTAGTCGGCAGGTTTGCTGCGGCGGGGGTATTTTTATCTCAAAGCATCGGGCGGGATTAAAATACTAATGGGATATTTTCGAGACGAGATTATAGGCCGTTAGCTAATCATCCAGGTACAAAACTAAAAACTAGAGGTGTGCAGATATCCGGAAAGATTCGGAAAGATACATGCCCTTGCCATATTAGTTATTTGCTTCAAGAGACAAACACTGAGACATGGCCTTGCCATATAAGTTTTTTTGCATCAAGAGACAAACACTGAGACATGGCCTTGCCATATAAGCTATTTGCATCAAAAAAACAAACACTGAGACATGGCCTTGCCATATAAGTTATTTGCATCAAGAGACAAACACTGAGACATGGCAAGATATAAATACGAAGGCATGGCCTAGCCATATAAATTGTTTGCATTAACATACAAGTACGAAGACATGACCTAGCCATATAAATTGTTTGCACCAAGATATAAGGTATACACTGAGACATTGCCTTGCCATATAAGGTATTTGCATCAAGAGACAAACACTGAGACATGGCAAGATATAAATACGAAGGCATGGCCTAGCCATATAAATTGTTTGCATTAACATACAAATACGAAGACATGGCCTTGCCATATAAATTGTTTGCATCAAGATATAAATACGAAGGCATGGCCTAGCCATATAAACTGTTTGCATTAACATACAAATACGAAGACATGGCCTAGCCATATAAATTGTTTGTGCCAAGATGTAAGGCATACACTGAGACATTGGCTTGCCACATAAGTTATTGCAACATCAAGAGACAAACACTGAGACATGGCATTGCCATATAAGTTATTTGCATCAAGAGAAAAACACTGAGACATGGCTTTGCCATTGCCATACAAGTTATTTGCATAAAAAGACAAACACTGAGACATGGCCTTACAATATAAATTGACATTGCCTAACCGTATGAATTGTTTGCATCAACATATAAATAGGAAGACAACTGGCCTAGCCATATAAATTGTTTGCATCAAAATATAAAGTATACACTGAGACATTGCCTTGCCATATACGTTATTTGCATCAAAAGACAAACACTGTGACATGCCCTTGCCTTATAAGTTATTTGCATCAAGAGACAAACACTGAAATATGGCTTTGCCATATAAATTGTTAGCACCAAGATGTAAGGCATACACTTGAGACATTGCCTTGCCATATAAGTTATTTGCATCAAGAGACAAACACTGAGACATGGCCTTGCCATATAAGTTATTTGCATCAAGAGACAAACACTGAGACATGGCCTTGCCATATCAGTTATTTGCATCAAGAGACAAACACCGAGACATGGCCTTGCCTTATAAATTCTTTGACATTAATTTTTGTGTTACAGCTTTGTGTTAGTAAAGAAATCGGGAAAAAATCGGTCTTGTACATGGATACAGACAGCTTTGTGTTAGAATAAAATTGGAAAAAATCGGATCCATCAAAACCGGATCCAGCCCAAGATCCGGAATTTTTCGGATCCGATCGATCATTCCGATTATTAATAAATAGACTAGAGAAAGTTTTATTTAAGCTTGATTCAATCAAATACGTAACAATTATTAAAAGGATTGACGGGATTCTATTTCCAATTCAGGACAACTGTATTATTATTCCCCTCCTGATATTAGGGATGAAAGGGAGTTGGGATTTTTCTTTCCCAGCAACAAGGACCTTTTCCTCAAGTTTGGTTTATAAATCTTGTAAATAGGTAACAAATGAGTAGGCTAACCAAATATTTTTTTAGTTTTCATTGCCAGGGGTTTTGTAATCATTAAAAACCAATGATCATGGTACAATCACTATTCATCCTATCTCCAGTGTTTGAGACATCATAAAACCCGTCATTACGGCATAATCGTGAACATCTATTGCAATTGCAGAGACAAATCGATCTTTTCCTGCAATAGCGGTGAAATCAGGATGTTTCCTCTGATTGCGAAGACTATTGAGGAGTTGAAACGATTCCGCCCCTAGAAGATCCCAAATTATATATAGGCCTATTCCATTCCCATGATAAAGTTGTGACGCAGAATTCTAGGGGGGGGAATAAACTGGTATTCACCAAAATCAGGCTAGGCCTACCCCTAGAACCAGATACACTCAAATTTCTTCCCTGGAGTGCTCAGAAGGAGCCGAGAAAAATCCAGGGGTCGATACAAACTTGTGACGGCTTTGACTGTTCAATTTATTTAAATTTAATCGAAGGCTCAGAGCTCTAGAAGCGAAATCCTGCAGACGCTCAGTAGGAGCTATATCAATCCCCTACCTTATACCTTATGTTATTGGTCCTCACCTTCGCTTAAGTGTTTTGGATAATTTTGCCAAAAACAACTGTTGATGGACTCTGTAGGACCGACGAGTATTCAATCTTACTTATAGCCAATGTGATGTGATTACTTGTATAAACAACAAATTAATTAACAGTTGCGCGTAGCATTATTTGGATAAATCGTAATTTTGGACCTAATGGGTTTAAATCAAACCAAACGATAACCACCGCTAGTCACTGGCAGGCAGGAACTGGCGGGTCTAGACTCAAGTCGGCAAAATCTAAGCTATTAAATTTAGATCTGTCTAATCGAATTCTGAAACGAAATTGAATTAAAATAAAAAGTAAAACGTAGAAATGGTCTAACTATTAGAATAGCTGTGACCCTATGTAATATCGGCGATCGGCGTATGGAATACGATGAACATACTGTAGGGTGTAACATAACGACCTTGTTAACTAGTTAAAAGCGTGCGAACGAATAATTCTGTCTTCCTGTAAATCCTTAATACCAGTCCGGTCGAGGCTTGCGCGTTCAAGCGGCGAACTTAAGTACTACTAGACAACAGCTGATCGAATATTCAACTGTTGAGCTGGCCTAGATTCGTCTGTCGTCTGTCAACAAACAAACACCAGTTTGGGGTTATGTCGTTGTCGGCGTCAAATACTTTTAGAATCGGTCGGTTTAACTTTATTTGGTGAAATGGAGTGCTAATATTGATGAATACGTCGTTTGAGGGTGTGTATGTGCTTTTCTGTGATTAAAAATAGGCCCATAGCCAAAGCTATGGCCAATAGTGATGATCAATACCAGAAATTTTGAATCTCAAAACCGAAACCGAAACTTAAAAAAATTGAATCCCGAATCTCAAATCCCAAAACCTAAACGCGAAACTTTTTTACTTAGCTGGTTACAAAGGTCAAGGTTACAAAAAATACACATTATCATAAAATGTTAAGTATGCAATCAAAACTGAAAGAGATTGACTCCTGACCATGACATAACGTAAATATGTGAATGTGACTGATAATCTTAAAACCCAACACAACATAATTTTTCATAAGCAACCAACAAAAATATTAATTAAACTTCTAACACCAACATAAACATGAATATTAAATTAATTAGTACATTTAGTGGTCAATATTTCTTTGGAGTGAGTGAGTCAGTCAGTCAGTCAGTCAGTCAGTCAGTCAGTGAGGGCTTTGCCTTTTATATATATAGATTGATGTGAAACTGAATTGTACCAGTTATAGTATTTAAGATACCTTTTGAAGTTCAGAATCAAATTTACTTGTTTCATTACTGTTAATGGTCATGTTTGCTCTGTTAGTACCAGCTTGTTTGTAAACAGTTATAAAAACAATAACAATGGCCCAAAAAAATGTCAGCAGTTTCAAAAATAAAACTGCCAAAATCTTCAATTTCGAAACTTATGAATCTCGAAACTTGGTTATCAAATCTCAAAACCGAAGTTTTTCCTAAGTTTTGATGGTTTTGAGATTTGAGATTCAGTTTTGACACATCACTAATGGCCAACACATAGGCCTCAGAGGAGTAGGCTATTGTGGATGAAAACTGGTAAGTTATGATGTTTGTTGATTAGCAGTGTGTATTTACCCCTTAAAATTTGGTACCTCACAAATTTGTCGCCAGGTTTACAATGAAAGTAAATGTAAATTGATCAAGTCATTGATAAAATAAATTGCTTTCAGTTTTTAGTCATATAAACTATAGTAACCTAGTATAAAAACCTCGGAGCGGAAATAGTCTAAATGCCTAATTTTGAAATTACCACATTGTGAATGGTTCATTAAACTTTGTGTGGCCTACTTTCCATTTGCATAGAAGATTTGCTACAGCTTACAGCGCTCTAGCACTTAGTAATAAGATGTCTACTCTGGTATCCTTAAAGTTATTGGCGTTGCCGTCAGAGTTCTATTTATTTTATCCTGTAAAAACATGCTGCGGTGTTTTTAAAATTGCAAATTGACTAGTGCCACAAATTAATTTTAACTGTTGTAATTTTGTCTAACCTATTTTTAAGCTTGATGCTATATTCAATTTTCAGTGATATTGACCTTGTTGTGATCGGTTCTTGGACCCAGCTGCCTCTTCATACACTGGAGAACGCTTTACTGGACTCGAAAATAAGCAAAACAGGCCAAGTCAGAGTCCTTGACAAGGCATCTGTAAGTATATAAATGTATAATAATCTATTTCAGGAAATATATTGAAAATACCAAAAGTTTTATCAGTTCCTTATAGGCTACCTGTATACCTCTCTGGTACCCTTCTCGAGTCTTAGTGCAAACAGAGACCTGTAGTTGGGTGGACACATCACATTCTTTACTTTTAAGTTTACCAGTGGTGTTTTAAAATTGTACTTATTTTTTACAATTTGTGATACTGGTTTGAAAACAAAGCTTTAGAGTTGAATAATTATCGATTTATTTTTAAATTTAAAACGGCTTTATTAGAGTCTCATATAAGGTCAAAACATTTAATCAATTATAGCCCCTGGACTCAAGTTAAACAAGGTAATCTAGTTATAACTCATTCTACACTCATCTCCATTCATACTTGGCTTAAAATACCTACTTTGTATGGTCGCCATTTCAATGAAAAGTATTAAAGAACCTATAGTCTATTCCTTTTCAAATAATGTTTAAACTATTCACCACAGGACTTTCCTTTAACATTTTATACTCTGTGATTTTTAACTGAAAGCGGCTGGAGCTCGGCCCTACCTGCGAGAGACCCGACTCACACACGCACACTCACTATCACCCTAATTGCCTAAAAGCCCCGATCCCCTTCACTACCTAGAAATATAAAATATGTTGTATGATACCTCAAAATCGCAAATCATTTTAAGTTAGATATACAGTAAAATGCTTAGTGTTAGTAAATTTGTTGTTTAATTCCATGAAAAATTAGTCCAAACAATTATTATGAAAAGAAATAGTAGAAACAAATTATCCAAAATCTGTTTTGAGTAGTGGAGCATATTCCACTTTCCTCTAATACGACATGTAATCTGCAGGTTCCTATTATCAAGCTGACGGACCAGGTGTGTGATGTCAAGGTGGACATTAGTTTTAACATGAATAATGGTGTTAAGTCTGCTCAGCTGATAAAGGAGTACCGCAACAGATACCCAGTCCTGGCCAAGCTGGTGCTAGTGCTAAAACAGTTCCTCTTGCAGCGTAACCTCAACGAGGTCTTCACTGGTGGCATCTCCTCATACAGTCTAATACTGATGACTATCAGTTTCTTACAGGTACAATAAACATCATTATTTCTTAAGTGTGTATTTTTACGGTAATGAAAATCCTTACCTCTTTTGAAGGGAACAGACCCAACGCTGGTCTTGGACTAAACATAAACCTTTTGTTGGATTAATTTGTAGCCCAATATCAAATAGCATTTGGGACAAGAATTGATGCTGCGATCGCACAAGACGACGATCACATTTTAGTGACTGTGGGAGACGATGATGTAATATATGCCAATGCTTGATGGCAAATCTGTACGTGCATACCTTAAATTCGAGACCTCAATCATGAAAATTGGTCGGTAGAAGAGCCAAACGAACTTGGCAAAGAAAAGCCAAATTTAACTCCCATAAGAAATACGTGGGGAGCAAATTTTGTTTACGTATACACCGAGTGGGATTATAGATACATTTATGCCGATGCTTAATGGCAAATCTGTACGTGCATACCTTCAATTTGAGACCTCAATCATGAAAATCGGTCGGGTAGAAGAGCCAAACGAACTCAGCAAAGAAAAACCAAATTTAACTCCCATAAGAAATAACTGGGGAGCAAATTTCGTTTACGCATATGCCGAGAGGGATTATAGATACATTTATGCCGATGCTTGATAGCAAATCTGTGCATGCATACCTTCAATTCCAGACTTCAATCATGAAAATCGGTCAGGTAGAAGAGCCTAACGAACTCGGAAAAGAAAAACCAAATTTTTTAAATATATAAGATATAATAACCTTACTAAAGTGTAGGCCTACAATAGACTCCCTCTCCAGAGGATTTATGCCAAGTAACAAATTTGTGCAAAGTATGAAAACTTCTCTTGGCAACACCAAACAATAATAGAATATTCTTTATGTGTGAAACACATGTAGCTAATTTGTTGTTTACAATGGTCTAAACTAAAAAAAGCATTTTCATGAGTACAAGGTATTGAGTTGTATATTTTTGGCAGTCCGAACCAAACTGATCTGAATGAGCTAGAGTCTTGCTGTATAAAATGTACAAGGTGACAGCTACAACTTGTATAGAAAATCTGTTGTAAGTTTTCGCTGCCTACTAACTTTTTTTAGCAAATTTCCCATAAAGGGAATAAGCTATTACCGTAGGTCTCATGTTAAGACCTGGAGGTGGGACTGATTTAATTTTTTGTTTTGAGATCCCCAGAGGCCAAAAACAACCATATGTTCAAATTCATAAATGTAGGCCTATATGTGTGTGTCAGTTAAGACAATAACTCGAGCAAAAGTGATCTAATTTGATGAAATTTGGTACAAACAAGTAAAGTAAACATACATTTATTCAAACTAGTTGTTTGCGAACCAGCATGATCGGACCTTGGGACCGGGGGTTAATGGGGTACTGTATACAGTAAAAATAATGCAGTAAAAATAGGGTTTTCCATTTTTTACCCTAAAAGTTTAAAATTTTGTAATTAATTTCTAAAACATTTTGTAGAGCTTGAAAATTAATAATTTTGTTTATTGAAGCGTTGTTATGCGCTTAATGGTTAAGGAGAAAATTCCCATGTTATTCTTGTGGGGAATAAGTAAACTATTGTAGTTTGCTTGTTTATGGATATATTTTGACCAAATAAGGCAAATTGATTTATTTCACTCTATTCTTTTGACATTTGATTGAAAAGCACCTTTCCCCTACCTATTAGGAGCAAACCTTATTTAGTAAATTGAAACATAATTAACAAAACTGAATTTATTGAACTCACAAATCAGACTAGACTGAAAAGTAAACAAAACATAATAATATAAACAGTCATCTGACAGATGTTATAAATAAAACATATGGACTTATTTCTTGATACATAACACTCCTCCCCCCGTTAAGTAGTCCTTCAGATATGCCGGTGGTCGACGGATACGAACAGGTCGAGGACTCATGCTCATTGAAGTGTTTTGGGAGTTTGATCTAAAGACACAAGTCCGAACAGGTTGTGGACTCGTGCTCATGCTAGTGGAGTCTTGAATTAAACCAGAAACGTTGAAAACAGCATCTTCTTAAAGAGGGTTAATTGAACCTTCTATACCACTAAAGGAATTGCGAGATTGTTGCATCACTGATGGTCGCATTGGTTGTACGTCTGGTGTTATCATCATAATAGGATTGTGAACCATTGATGGTGGTTGCACTGGAGTAATATGATGTGCTTCTGGTGTTCTCATTTGAATAGGATTCTGGAGTAGTGGGTGGAACGGTGGGTTTACTGGAGATTCTCAGGATTATCCAAGTGTGAGTTAGTAGATGCTTTTGATGTTTCTGAGCGAGGTCTCAATTGGTCGATATGACGTCGTATTTCAATGCCTTCTTTTGTTATCAAATGGTAGCTCAGCGGCCCGGTTATTCTAGTGACTAACAGGAATCCACTTTGGTCCTCGCTGATTATAGTTTCTTGCAAATACGGAGTCATTTTCTTTAAATTTCCTCTGAGGTGACTGTTGGTAATCGTGAAGTGCTTTATCCAAGATTTTCTCTTCTTTGTCACTTGAAGAATAATCTAGTTGAACTCTGTCTAAGATGGTTCTAATACGCCTTCCGAACAGCAGTTCACTCGGTGACATATTAGTAGAACAATTTGGCGTTATATGATATGATATTAGGAACTGAGCCAATCTTTTTTGCCAATCTTGAAGTATTCGTCGCAAAGAATTTTTTGTCGTTTGGACCATCCTTTCTGCCTGACCATTCGATGACGGATGGTATGGTACAACCACGACGTGACGGATGCCATTGCTTTCATTAAACGATGGAAATTCTAGTGAAGTGAAAGCCGACCCGTTATCAGATACTATTGTGTCTGGAACACCATGTGTTGCGAAAAAGCTTCTGAGGACCTTTATAGTTGATCTTGAATCTGTAGAAGGCACCTAAACTACTTCTAACCATTTGCTGAAAGAATCGACAACAATCAAAAACAACTTGTTTTGGAAGGGCCCAGCGAAATCTATGTGGAGACGAGACCAGGGTTGTTTCGTTTTCTCCCAGGGAAGAACTGTTGCTCTTGGAGGGTTGTGACGACTTTGTTGACATGCTTGACAAGAATTCACTATGTTTTCTATGTCTTGATCAAGTTTTGGCCACCAGAAATAGCTTCGAGCCAACGCCTTTGTTCGAACAATGCCCTCATGTCCCATGTGTAGAACCTTCAGAGCTTGTTGCCTGAGAGTGGATGGAATGATCACCCTAGTTCCCCAAAGTAAACATTGTTTGTATTGAGAAATTGAATTTTGACGAGAAATGAAAGGTTGAGATCTGAGTTATGAGTTGGCCAACCACGTTGAGTCCATAATAGTACTTTAGATAGAAGTGGATCTTTTCTGTTTCTTTTGCTATTATATTAGCGGTGATTGGTTTAACCTCATCGGATTCAATGTATAGCACGTCATTCAAGACTTCATTTATCTCTTGATCAACAACATTGGAGGAACATGGAAGACGACTCAAACCATCAGCATTCGGAATAGAAATCCCCGGTTTGTATACAAGATCAAAGTCATATCCATTTAAAAGGATACTCCAGCGAATCATTCGAGGTGACAGTGTGTTTGGTGTTTGTTTATCCACAGTGAAAAGACCCAGAAGTGGCTTATGATCTGTTCTAATTTCAAAATGCCTCTCATATAAGTAATTGTGGAATTTTTTAACCCCTCTAATGATGGAAAGTGCTTCCCTATCTACTTGAGCATATCTTCGTTCTGACTGACTCATTGTCCTGGAATAAAACGCAATTGGAACTTCCTTTTCCCCTCGAACCTGACTAAGCACATAACCAATACCATAAGGAGATGCATCACAAGTTAGTATAAGATGGCTGGAGGGATTGTAATGAGCCAGTATACTATCGGAAGAAAGGAGCTTCTTTGAAGCATTGAAAGCAAGTTTATGTTTTTCCTCCCACCGCCATTTAACATTTTTGTCCAATAAGCGATGTAAAGGTTCTGCAACATTGGCTTTGTTGGGTAAAAAACAGTGATAGAAATTAAGTAAACCTAAAAATGCCTGCAGTTGTTCCTTGTTAGTCGGCTCAGGAGCATCTTGAATGGATTTGACTTTGTCCGGGTTAGGACGAATTCCGTCAGAGCTCACAATAAATCCCAAGAAGTCAACTGATGTAGATAACAAAGAACACTTTTCGCTTTGGAGTGTAATCCCTGCATCTCTAAAACGAGTGAATACTTGTCTTAATGTGGTAATCAATTCATGTATTGTTCCTGCTTTAACCAAAATATCATCAAAGTAAGGGATTACATTGTCCAAGCCCGAAACCAAACCCTCAATAAAATGTTGAAATATAGATGGAGCTGAGCTAATACCGAATTGTAGTCTTTTTGGTTTAAAAGCACCCTTGTGTGTAATTAGTGTCTGGGCTAGTGCCGACTTCTCGTCAACAACCAGTTGTTGATAAGCTTGGGCTAAATCTAACTTAGCAAAATATTTCCCTTGGTTTAATTTTGCTAAGAGCTGAGAGATTGGTGGAATAGGGTACAGATGATCTTGGATAGCTTTGTTTAACGTTGCCTTATAATCACCGCAAATTCGTATTTTACTATTGCTTTTTACGGAAACAACAATTGGTGTGGCCCAATCCAATACCTGAACAGGTTCTAACACTCCCTGATTAACTAACTTATTCAGCTCTTCTTCTACTGAGGCCTGCAATGCATAAGGTAAAGGGCGCGCTCTTAAGTGAATTGGGTTATAATTCTGGTCAATTTTCAGTTCGATTGGAGGTCCTTTATAGCACGCTAAGAATTTGAAAATACATCGGAAAATTCACTTTTCAGATGTTGAACATCCAGCTGGGCTTTACTAAGAACTTCAGATTCATGACAGTTGATTGAAAGTACTCCGTTTACTTCAATTTTAAGACTTTTTAGCCAATTACGCCCGAATAAACTATTTCTATTACCTTCAGTTATGACTAACGGAAGGAAACCATTGAACTTACCGTATTTCACATAAACATTTAGTCTGACCTAAAACACTTACAGGTTTACCACTGTAATCCTTGAGTTTCCAAGGAGAAGGTTGCAGTTTACAGTTTTTATGAGAAATTAAATTCCATAGTTCTCCTCCTATGATAGAAACACCTGCACCAGTATCAACTTCCATTAGAACTTTGTGATTATTTATGTTGACAGTTAGTTGTAGCCTATACAGTTCCGGTACTTTAGTGCAGTTAACTTCCTGGACGTATTCAGTTGTTTCGTTATTTGATTGAGGTGGAAACGTTTCTTCTTGTTCACAATTGGTTTCCTCTGACAAAACTTCATGAGCCCGCTGTCCCTTTGATCCGTGTTTTTGGCTAAAATATTCTTTGGGGCGTGGTTTCCCTCCTTTACAAACTCGTGCTAGATGCCCAATTTTCTTACAAATATTACAAGTAGTCTGAAGATGGGGACAATCCCTTCTAAAATGTCTTAGTCCACAACCAAGACAAACATTAGGTGTAACAGAGTGAGCTGGATTGTTGTAAAATGCAACAAATTTCCTGTTTGAATGGTCAATTTTATGTGCATTAGCAAAACTTGAGCTACTGAAAGAAAGTTCCTTACTTTGAGTTTGAAATAATTCATTTGACTTAGCTGCAATAACAACATCCTGAAGTTTTATAGTAGGTTCTTTCAAAATTTTATCCCTTAACTCATCACTTCTAGATCCAATCAAAATTTGCATAATTAATTCCCTATCCAAGTCTTTGAATTCACAGTTCACAGCTAATGTTCTTAGTTGAGAATAGAAAGAGTTAAACGACTCTGATTCTGCTTGATGACACTTCCTAAAATTGAATATTTCAAAAAGGACATTTTTGGTAGGAGCGAAATAGTCAGTTAATAGTTTTATAACATTTTTGTACGTTATTTCATTAGGTTGTGGTAAACTGTCAAAAATGTAAGCCACATCCTCATTAGCTAGATTAAGTAGTAGTGCAGTTTTCCTTACATCATTGGTAATGTCTGCAGCTAAAGCATACCTCTCAAATTGCTTAATCCACGTACCCCAACGCTGTGCGACACTTGCAGGATTCGTATGGGGGTCAAAACGATCAGGCTTATTGAGATCCATTACCTATCCAATTATCCTCGTCGCCAGTTTAGTAAATTGAAACATAATTAACAAAACTGAATTTATTGAACTCACAAATCAGACTAAACTAAAAAGTAAACAAAACATTCGATAAACTAATATTATTCAGATGGGAAATAAATATGTCATTTTAAAGGAGATATTTTAGTGAAAATATAATCATCAGGCAAATGTAACCGCTTAGTCTGCAGGTTTGCTACAGCGAGAATATTTTATTGTTAATAGTTAGCCTACCTTTGGTGTTTTGTAGTTTAACCCTTAGAGTGCCAGGCGAGAAATAAAAGTAACGCTCAAAAAATGCCGATGATTTTTCCCGAAAGTCGCGCTAAAAATGCCGAGCGCGATCTGGCGATTTTTAGGTTAAAATTTCGTAAAAATAGAATTTTCGATATTTCGACCAACGAAAATCGATGTATCGCATCTAGTAACTTTCGACTCAATGTTAATATATGGGTTAAAAGAATCCGAGTATCTATTCGGTTGTTATGACAACTGTTCGATCATTACGAAACGTCCGGTCAGCCGGACGTTGGCACTTTGGCCCGTTCTAAAAACGTCCGGTCGGCCGGACGTCGGCACTTTTGGCTCGTTTTAAAAACGTCCGGTTCCCCGGACGTTGGCACTCAAAGGGTTAAAAGAGAACAACCAACTTGCTGATAGTGTACTAATGTTCTTAATTATTTAGTATAATCATACTAAACAACCTATATGAAATAACAAATATTATAACATTTACCTTTAGGATACTCAACACTTTTTTATTAGCAATTCATGCTATTTTATAGCAACATTCCTAAAGCTCCAGATTTATATTGTAGTTTAATGTTCAGTTTAAGATAGTTTTGATTATCTTAGTTTAGTAGCCTATTTGCTGTTTTTTTTCTAGTTACATCCGCGACAAGGAACTGAATCATATGGAGCCAATCTGGGAGTCCTGCTGATAGAGTTCTTTGAACTTTATGGCCGAAAATTCAATTACATGAATACAGCCATTAGAGTGAAAGACGGAGGAACCTATATTGCCAAAGAAGAGGTAATTTGTATGCTTTTCCCCTTGTAATTTTTTAATGCTTCATATCTTTGGTTAACAATCAACTACCAATTAGTCATTTTAAAAACTTTGTAGTTGAGCTGCTGCTTTTTTAGATATTGTGGTTGGGAAACTGATTATTAGTTAGCTGTGGAGTGACACCCATGTCGCACCCATTTTTCATTCTTTATGGTAATGTCGGCTCAACAATGAATCTTTCTAGTTACACTATTACAACACAAAAATACACCATTTCAAAACGCCCTTCAATGTTCCCTGTTATCAAGGATCTGTGATATTTTTGAGTATAGCAAATAATAGGGGTCTGCGGTACAGAAAATTTAAGGTCGGTACGGTTCGGTACGGTACAATATTTTGTACCTCGGTTCTCGGTACAAAATCGGTACGGTACGCGGCTACCCGTATTTTTGCGGTTTTCTGCTCAGAACTGTATTTAGACCATTATTTTTAACTTTAATACATTGACATTACTATGAAAATTGATAGTATCCTACTTTCCTGGTATTCTAACAACAATTACTGTACCACACATTATTAAAACAAAACCTTTTACTACTACGAGGATTGTGTCAAGAAAAATCACAGTTAAGATAAAGGCTTTACCTATTTTACTCTGAGATACTTTGAATAGCCATGATAAAAGTGGTTTTAAAAATAGGGTAAGAGTTTTTAGGAATAAACATGTTTGAAAATTTATTGGCAAGATAATTTCACACAACTGGTAAATTATTTCCAACCAACACAATGTCTAGTTGTTTTTTAGATTTTTAAAAACATATAAAAGCATTCAGTACTAAGACAGTGTAGCTGCCAGCTGTTCACAGCAGACAACAATGAACAACTGGAGGATATGATGAAGTAATGGCAAAGAGCATCTTTTTTTATCAGCTCCAAAACTAGTTTATAAGATCGGGTCGGATTCGATACGGATATCCGAACCGGGCCCAAATTCGATATCCGACACTATCCGTTATATATCCGACTTTTTCGGATAGGCAATATATTTTGACGTTTTGGACAGAAAACTTAATCTCCATAGCCACCATTAGGTTCCCAGGACAAAATTACAGCAATACGTTTCCAACGACCTAACACCAAACGGCAAAGAAGCCGTATGATGCAATACTGATAACTAGTTTAGTCGTTATCGGCTGTTTTGCTTTACGATTAGATTCGTCTGGAACGAACAGACATAAAGCAGAAAAGAACTACCATGGTCAAATGAAAGTCAACTCGTGCTTGTCTCGCTCCTGATACTAGGGGCGCTGCGTAATAGTTTTTTTTACAGCACTGTTTCAAAGTAGAAAAATCTAGCCTACTACTGTGATGTTACGTAAACAATAGATTTAATGTTTCCCGAAAAAAGTCAGAATAGAAACAATAGAAAGGCAAACAATAGAAGGGTGGGAGGGGTTGGGCAATGACCTCGAAAGGAACGCGGGTAGTGAGTCAAGTAGGACCGGAGGGGGAAGGGGTGGGTAAGACCTTGAAGCTTTAAATAGACTTGCACTACTTCCCTAAACCTAAAGGACTGGCCGGCGAGTGGTATTCCAATCACAGGACAAGATACGTTGTTTTTTGGGTATTCATTGCCCGGTTTGACTTTGGATTGTCTTACTGTGTAGAAACTTTGAATAATAAAAGATAAAGTTAGAACTAACCACGATTATTTAGCATTGATTGTGTACATATTAAATGATTAAACTATAGGGACCATGGATATATACAAACTTTTGTCAACATCAAAATACAATATTGCACAATCGTGATATTTTAGGTCATTGACTCAATTATGCATCTGGTATTGCTGTTTCAGAAGAGAAGCACGTTGATAAATTATAAATTGATATTCCCGTAGTTAAAAAGAATTATTTTATAAACCTATAAAACAAAATCATAAAATCTTACATAAAGATAACAATAACGGAAATTGTAAAAAGGGTATAAAGATAACAACGTCATTCTTTCTCTTTGTTCTTCTATTTCTTGGGTTTCCCTTCATACGCATTCAACAAGTTGCCATGGTTACTAATCACCCATGTCGTTATCACCGAGTGCAGCCGAGCGGCACTAATGAGGGTCGGACCTTCTTGGGGGTGAACAATAGACGGCTTATCAGACCCTCCCCTCCCCCGTGGTCTGGAGAAAGCTTGTAAACAAACTATTGCACAAGCGCAATGAATACACAAACTATATAGTTTGTGTATTCATTGACAAGCGTGACTTGACATTGGGCTGACAGTAGGCGTAGGCTTGAATAACGAAAAAAAAATTATGCAAACAACAACTATCAACAACAACTATGCTTGTGGTTTCGTTAATAGAAAGATAAAATATCTATAACAAATATTTTAAGTTATAAAATAAGATTGTACATTAGTTACAAGTTTAATATGTAGCCATAAACAGTTTTATGGCAGTAGGCAATGGCCAGCGGCAAATTTAATATTCACGAAAATACTGACTGAGTTCAGGGTTGCCACCAGCCATGAAAACCTTGAAAAGCGTGAATTATGCGTGAAATTAGGTGACCATGAAAAAGTGCGTGAATTATGCGTGAATTTCGTCATTGGACCATGAATTCTCAAAATCATTATTAATAATTCAGCCAAAACCCCTAAATGTGCTGAATCAAATACTCCGTATTAAAACCATTCTCGAAATGAACACCGAGATAAAACGTCAAAGTGGGAGTGTCGAGATAAAAAGTTTTGTTGCCATGCCACGAACAGAAACGATTGCGTAGTTTATTCAAGGTCAAATACGATCGTAACCGAAGTCAGCCGAGTAGTCTAGAGATGGGAATTATCGTTGTTTTCCGGCAACGGTTATAACGATAACGCAGCTGCCCAATAACGTGTTGCGGCAACCTGTTATTTCAATAACGATTGCCAACTCGTTGCCGCTATAAACCGTTGTCTTGTACGCCGGTCGCCGGTCGGTGTTGCGGCGTTCAGTTATCGTTGTCGGTTGATCAGTTCGGAGTTCAGTTTTCAGTTGTAGTCGGGAGTCGGGCGTTGCCGCGTTGTCCAGACAGGATGCGTTATTCTAGTTCGTTTCAGAAGTTATCGTTGCTCTGGTAGCGTTGCGGCAACGGCACTAATGGCAATGCATGTTTCCGTTGTCCGCGCGGCTTTCCTGCAACATTGTGTAGATAGATACGTTATTATAATAACAGGGAGTTCTCCGCAACGTGTTGCCGCGATAACGTTGCCGTGGCCGCAACACTGTTATTCATCCTGTTATGTTATAACGCCCATCTCTACCGAGTACCGATCTACCGATAAAATCGATGCTTTCGGAGCTAAAACATCGATCACATCGATGTTTATTCCGAGTTTCTCGTCTGTTCTCTGCACTGTAACAGCCAATTAACCTAAAACCAATACAATTCAGTTACGGAAAACATCAATATTTCATTACTTTTGTTGGCCTAAAAGACCGATGTAACAAACCAAATCATCGGTTCGTTAATCTACCATCGATGTAAACAAACAACTTCGAACATCGATAGAAAAGACATCGATGTTTCGAAAACATCGACAATCGGAATTGATGCTCGCTCTCACTCATTCTCTACAGCCCCGTTCACACGGGGCGAGTTTACAAGCTACACGCCGGCTTTTTTACACGCAGCTAGTAAAATAGCTCAGTGTGAACGACGTACTCGCTCAAAAGCTGCTTGTAAAAAAGCTCTGGAAAAAGTTGACGGTGCCGCTACTTTACACGCCAACTCGCCAGCTTTTGCGCGAGTAGGCGTGTAAAGTAGCCCAGTGTGAACACAGTTGCTTGTGCTTGTGCGCTTGTTACTCAAAGATGTTGTAGGATTTGGTTCAAGCCAGCTACTGAGCGAGTGGAAAAAGCATCGTGTGAACGACTACAAGCGCACTCGCCGGCGTCTTTCTACACGTAGCTGCGAGTTGGCGAGTTTACAAGCTCCGTGTGAACGAATGAACGAATACAAGCACACTCGCCAACTCGCCGGCTTCTTACACGCTGGCGTGTAGCTTGTAAACTCGCCCCGTGTGAACGGGCCTTACTCTCTCCTCTAGTGTTCGTGTGGAAGGAAATACAGAGTAACCATAACCTAAAAGTTTTAAACTGATCTGAAACTTGTCAAACTTTTGAAGTGGTGGTGGACACTGGACAGTAAGATCACTTTTTGCACTCGTGATTCCGTTTTGTGCTTCTTATAATTGATTACCCAACACTCAGTGGAACAAGTGTTCAGATTAAATATTTTTTATTACTGATATATCATACTTCCGATACTTTACAACGTTAAAATAAGAAGTACCTTCACCTTGCCTTGCCATAAAGGTCAAAATGGCTTACGCCGGCTGGAACCGTCTTCTGTGTTTGTTTGGTCAAATATGTCGTAATTTCAAACTACTGTCAGTGTTGAATAAATGTGTTACGTTACAACGGGAGTTTAAGTTTATTTATTTAGGCCTAAGTTGCAAGAAGTCAATGTTGTGCTGAAAAATGGTGATTTCGTTCTGAGGAAGGTAAATGTAAATGTTTTGTTGGAAGCATAACTAGGTGTTTTCAGTCAATAATGAGACTAATGAGATATTCATGAATGACTGATGAGATATATAATACTAACTAATGAGATGTAAATTTAATTAAATAATTGTTTTAACTGTGATTTAAACCTGTGTAGGCAAATAATAATATATAAACTGATCCAGTCGGAAGAAACATCCTCCTAACTAAGTTTATTTTAACCTTTTCTGTAGGGGAATGTAATTAATTATTTTTTTATTAGGCCTACTTAATGTAAGTTAGCCTATGTCTAAACTTACATACATTCCATAACTTTTGTTTCGTTCTTAGCTTTAACTAAATATTTATTTACATAATCTTACCTTTTTAGAGTGTTTTTATCAGTCAGTCGGTAACCTTTAATCTTCTTAATAAATAAAAGTTGGTTCAGGCCTAACTTAGCCTAGATTCAGCTTTGGATTACAATGTAGGCTAGCCTACTGTGTTACAGTATAAAGTAATAGATTGCATGCGCGTTTTAGTAGGCCTAGATATGGTCCATTACTACGGTAACTTAACCGTTTTTTGGATCATGTTCTTAACATTTGTTTTTATTATGCCTATTATCTTAATTAAATACGTTATGCCTATTATCTTAATTTGATGTTTAGACAGTAAAGTTCTAGGCCATTGCTGGATTAACTAAGTTAAACCTTTTATGTTTGGATGTAATGTTTTTTAGGTTAGGCCTAGACCTAACTACCAATCCGACTTATTTTTTATTTATTATTTCTTCTAACATTTGAATTTATCATTAGGCCTATGATGTTGTTAAATCAGATGTTTAATTTTTTTTAATAATTACATCGTATTATCACACACAAGATTTTTATTAATATCCTTTTTCATCTGTGATTTTACTTTTTTTAGACTGGATAAATTTTATTAAATTCTTATTTTTCACTGTAAAATAAACGCATGAAATGTGTTTTATTTGATAGTAGCACACAAAACTATATATTGTCGATAAATTAATGTACAATTCTGAACTAGGCAACACTCTTTTATGGTGAAATTGTGCGAGCATATACCCCATGAATTTTTCAAAACTACCAATGAAAACCTTGAATTATGCATGAATTTTTTTATCTCACTTTGGTGGCAACCCTGGAGTTCAAGATAACATTTAACAGTCATCATAAAACTATTATATTTATGATAAAATAGAATTGGGGAAAGTCGTGAAGAAATAAAAGTGATAAAACTCAACAGTTCTTGGAAGTACTTGAATACAACAATTATTGTCGTGATAAAATGTTAATGGACTTGGGACTGCTAATGGGGTTTTTATTGCATCATCACCCTAGTAATAAATTATGAAGATCGTAAACATACATCTGATAAGACTTTTATGTGCTTGGAACCAACTGTCGTTAACTACGATAGTAACTGAAAGTAATTTATTATTATAATAGGCTGTACCGAACCGAATTTGAACCGAATTTGTACCGTGTAAAATGCTGTACCGAACCGATGACGGTAATTAAGCTTGTACCGTACCGTACCGACTTTTTCGGTGCACCGCAGACCCCTAGCAAATAACATTGATATTAGGCAATTTTTTTTTAGAACTGTGTTTATTTTTTACTTGTCATTGAAATTTTCCCGGATCCTTTTATCACCTTACTTGAACAATGTAATTTTGTATTTTAGGTCCAAAAAGACATGATTGATGGACACCGCCCATCAATGTTGTGTATAGAAGACCCCCTCACTCCTGGCAATGACATCGGCCGTGGATCATATGGAGCTTTGCAGGTTAAGAACGCTTTTGAGTATGCTTACCTCGCTCTTCAAACAGCTGTAAATCCTTCAAATCCTACGGCGGGTGATGCAAACGTAACAAGGTGAGTTGCTAGATGTGATATCATTGTCACATTGTTTGTCAATATCATTTTTAGAAAGCCTAAATATAGTACAGGACAGATAGCGATTAACCTAGAACAAATTAGTTCAAAGGTAAACTCTTCTGGAATATGTTTGGGACACACTCCTTAACATTTCCTGAGAATTCCCAAAAAATCCCACTTCAGCAAAATCCGCCATCTTGGAAAATGGCGGCAAAACAAATCAAACTTGCAAGGTTTTACGGAAAATGTTATAACTACAGATTTATTCGACTTATAATAGTCGCATGAAGCTCAAACTTATCTAAAGAAAGTTTACTTCAAGAAAATAACACATTTATTGGTATTTCATAGTTTTAATATATAATAATTGTAGCTCAAATACGATTTTTGTAATTTTAAATGTCTCTAGTTCATTCTTTTTCTGATTTTACGCCGTTAATACATAAATTAGGTAAATATACCACCCAGTTAGTTAAATGTAGAGCTTTAAATTTCAAACAATATGCATATGACTTTTGTGATATTAAGCCAACAATCACGCCAATAATAAGAGTTTGAATGCACCAGTATGCACAGCGCGTAGTGCCGTGGCGGCTCGGCACCTCGGCCGACCTACAACAATCATCCGCTAAACACTGCCGAATTCGCAGTCAAATATGTGGAAAACGTTGTATGATGTGTAATTTTATACAACAATGCATTTTATTATAAACGAAAATATTTGATCACATTCACTAAATACTTCTTATGTGATCAATGCTAAGTTTATTGGTTTTTGATCTGCAGGAACCAATTAATGATCAATTATGGTTTTCAAAAGACTTGATGCTAGTGATGGCAATCATACCTTATTACTTGGAATTTTGCAGACATTTATCATTACTTTGTTTTACTAACAAGTTATGGCAAATGTCCGCAAAAATACCACTATAATAATTAATAAAGGGATAATAAGATATTTAATATTTACCTGTAACTTTTGTTATGATATATTTTTGACAAAGAATTTAGATTTTATTTACACATTTACAATTGAACAGGGTAATTTTAATAGTCTTAATTGCCCCAAAGTCCTGCAATAATAACGGTACTAATCCATTCGGCTGAGAATCAATGTTCTTTACATACAAATGTTGTTGAATTTTGGATGAATTAAAGCAAGATTCCAGTTTGGGTTGTTATAAAATGCAGTAGCCAAAATACTTAATGTTATAAATCAGACAATGGTATATACTAAATTAATTTATTTGATCTTAAATTAATATTCTTTCGTAAGTAATACAAAATTTTCCCTAATTGACAACATGCCAGTTTGTTTGTTTTGATTTAACCTCAAAAATTGACATGTGAACATTCATACCTTAACCGATTCTAGATAACAAATCCAACTGTAGGCCTACGTATTTTTGATCGAGTTTTCGACAACTGGACAACCTCTAGTGTACAATGATTCAAAGTATCTTCTCATTTTTTATTTAATTTTCAAAACTTGTCTTGCTTTTACAAATAATGTTAATCACTTGGCTTCATGTTGCTTATTAGTTATTTTTCAGTAACCTGTAACAATAACGTTACCTATCCACTATGCTGAGAATATATCATTTTCTTTACTTTTAATTGCATGTCTTGATGCATGAGGGAACCAAGCGACGTAGTTGAGAAATTAAGAGTCAAAGTTTAACGTGGGTCCTAAATTATTTAAAATTTAACAATTGTCCTTTGATTTTTAATAAGTGTAAAAAATCACGAATAAAAAATTCAAATATGAATAACAATTTTAAATGTGCATAAGTTTAATTTTAATAACAATTATTAGACACATTAAGCAATATTTACTAATGAAAATAAACGTATAATTTTATTACAGCTATAAAGGATATTTATGACAAACATTAAAACATAGATCGAAACCGGAATAATAAAGTAGAAAGACAATTTAAAATACTAAACTTTATTGATTACATAAATGATATTTATTCTGTGTGTAGTTTAATCAAGGCAGTTGTCGTATTAATACATCTATTAAAAAAAACATATCATATAACCAATCCCACTGTCATTTTTCATTCATATTCCGGTTAGAATACACAGCCAGTGATGCGTCCTAGTCTTATCTGATGAAATTAATCTATGTCGTATTCTTTTTAAACGCATTATTGTATAAAATTCACATTATTCACCATAAAGTAATTATTGTATCAGATATCAAAAGATTTAACATGACTAGGGCCTATTCTTGTATTTATACAAATAACGTAAATTTATGTTAAATTCAGATTTAAATTTTTTAATACATTTTTTTATTAATCCAAAATAAAAATATAAGATTAAAGTACTGTAAAGAGCATTTATTCTTAGCCTAGTGTATTGGTATCGTTATTATTGCAGGATTTTAGGGCAGTTTTTAACGGCAAGACACAATGAAAATTTTTAACAATGAAAAGATAAAACAAAATTACCCTGTTCAATTAAAATATCTTATTATAGGTTAATTAATTATTATAGTAGGAATTTTGCGGACATTTGCCATAGCCAATTATTACAAACCAAGTAATGATAAATGTCTGCAAAATTCCAAGTAATAAGGTATGATTGCCATCACTAGCATCAAGTCTTTTGAAAACCATAATTGATCATTAATTGTATTTAGTGTATCATTAATTGTATATAGAAGTATTTAGTGAATGTGGTCAAATATTTTCGTTCATTAAAAATGCATTGTTGTATAAAATTACACATCATACAACGTTTTCCACATATTTGACTGCGAATTCGGCAGTGGATAGCGGATGATTGTTGTAGGTCGGCCGCGGTGCCGAGCCGCCACGGCACTACACGCTGTGCATACTGGTGCATTCAAACTCTTATTATTGGCGTGATTGTTGGCTTAATATCACAAAAGTCATATGCATATTGTTTGAAATTTAAAGCTCTACATTTAACTAACTGGGTGGTATATTTACCTAATTTATGTATTAACGGCGTAAAATCAGAAAAAGAATGAACTAGAGACATTTAAAATTACAAAAATCGTATTTGAGCTACAATTATTATATATTAAAACTATGAAATACCAATAAATGTGTTATTTTCTTGAAGTAAACTTTCTTTAGAGTAGTTTGAGCTTCATGCGACTATTATAAGTCGAATAAATCTGTAGTTATAACATTTTCCGTAAAACCTTGCAAGTTTGATTTGTTTTGCCACCATTTTCCAAGATGGCGGATTTTGCTGAAGTGGGATTTTTTGGGAATTCTCAGGAAATGTTAAGGAGTGTGTCCCAAACACATTCCGAGTTTACCTTTGAACTAATTTGTTCTAGGTTAGGGCCTTTTTTTGCATAACTGTCCTGTTAAAATCTCACCTTATATATTTGGAGACTGATATTTTCTATCGTCACTAGTGTATTATTCAAAGAAATATCCTAACATTAAGGCCACACTTATTTGCTGACAACACAGCACAATCTAACATTAATTTGAACTTTCTCAAGCCTTTTTAAATTAGTACTTAAGCTAAAAGTTTCAAACACTATTACCAGCATTATGTTTTACATAATCATTACATAATCCTATTACATCCTATTACATAATCATTTTTAAAAACAAACCCTATAAATTTAGGACAAATTATCTAAATTTAATTTATAACCCAGCAGTAGAAATACAATAGAGTCGATTATCCAAAACAGTTGGGGATAGTCCGTTTAAACCAATGTACTGATAAAAATTGTACAGTTAAAGAGGTGTCATATCCGTCGAGTGTAGTCTGGTTAAACCGATGTACAAGATGTCCGGATAAGAGGGAGTCTATTGTAATAGCAACTGCAAGAGTATTTTAACCAAATTTAATGAACAAGGTTTGGAGAGAAAGGGCTAATTGCCTGAGAATAGGTGTGAGAAAGGATGGGATAAGCAGGCTTACCTTAAGAAATGTAGGCATCCCACTTCATTCACTACAGAACACAGAAGAAACACAAACAAAATAAACACTGGATATTTCGAGGCCACTGGCCTCTTTCTCAACATGGAGAGTCACATTTTAGTCTTTCACTGGTAAGGAAGCAGTGTGTTATATGAAAGTACTTAAGATAAGTGATGACAACTCAGAACTAGTATGTGAAACTGTTCTTTTCGAAATAAAACTGAAAAAGGAAATAGTCCAGGTCATGGGAGTCTACAGGCCTCCAAGGGACAATTTGGAACAAGCGCTAGATATCCTAGCAAGCCAGCTGGAATATGCTCTCCGCACAAAGAAGAAAACTGTCATCATGGGCGACATAAATGTAAACAACCTTGGTGAACATGCAAACAACACAGATAACATCCAAGTTGAAGATCTTCTATCCTCTTTTGACATTGTTAGACTAAATCTGCCGCCTACTAGAATTACACATGAAACTAAAACCTCAATAGACTGGATCTGTACAAACATAGACCCAAAACATATCCAGACATCCATTATCCTGTCTGGACTCTCAGACCACACTGCCCAAATTGCCACTCTCCAACTACCATCAGAAAAAATCACAAAGTCAATTAAGGAGAAAAGAAGAACTCTCAACAAAAACACCATAAATCTATTTAAAACCAGGCTCCATGAACAATCCGGGGATTGTGTCTACCACATAGAAGATGTCGATGAATCTTATAACAACTTTCACAGGGCTATCCAAGGAATACTAAATGAGACCTGTCCAGTAAAAATGACATGGAGAAAACAACACAATCAAAAAAACTGCTGTGATGCTGAATGCTCTAGACTAAAAAATCTATATATAAATGCCCTGGAAAAAGAAAAATGCACAGGTCTACCTGAAGATAAAGCAGAAACCGCAGCAAGAAAAAGGGATTATGACCTAAGACTAAAGACTTTGAGGAAAACTCAAACATCCGACTATATAAGCAATGCCGACAACAAGTCCAAGGCACTCTGGCAGGTTATAAATAATGAGAGAAAATCAAGTACCAGTATAGCAAATGAGTGGGAACTCCTAG